CTGTCATTTCTCACCTGTCACCTGGAACATGTCATCGTTTTTATTGTTTAAAAAAAGAGTGCTTTGGCATTTTCTGGTGATTAGATGTTTACTTAGAGCATCAAAACTATCTCAGTTTGCATTTAAGGAAGTGCTCCCATCCCTACTTGTTTGTACTAGTATGAAGTACAAATAGGGAGACTCCATATTGTTGCGTGACACATACCTTACTCCCCCTCAATGCTTTATCTCTGAGTGTTGACCATACTCATAAAGGCAATAATGTCAAAAGTAAAAATATAACACAATTACAAAAATGGCAGAACATTTTTTATTAAGACATTTTTTACCAAATTTGTGTTTTCACCACAAGAGTTGGGAGAGTGTAGACTGAACCACAATTCAAGAGTCATTGCAAAATAAGTAAAAACCAAAGAAAAATAGATTTTTTTAAATTCACTAGTAAGACTCATCTGTACCAGAGTTGAACATTTTCTCACATTACAAACTAAACTTTGACATTATTCCCAGGGGAAAATACATCCCACCTTGACAATGACTAAATTAAAATTTTCTGCCTCACAAAATAAGTTTGTTCATGAATATAAAAGACCTCTTCAAGCCCTAAATAGTTCAGAGTATAAACTACATTGACCACGAAGAAAGAACTCATTTATCACTTTGCAGTTCACAGTGGTGTTGTTGTTGACACTTGTTTAGGATATTTGGCACTGGTTTGTTAATCATCAGATTTGGAATTAGATCAATGGCGCCTTGAAGTGGAGATGAAAGGAGCCACTGCAGTTTTTGTACTAAATAGATTTTTAGTTCTCAGGAAACGGGGTGGGAATGGGATTCACTTTTGTGTGCGTGCTTACATGCGTTTTGACACGTGTGTGTGAGGTTACTTGATCTGGCAGCTGATTTTGCGTGTCAGGCGGGGGACAGATAAAAAAGACTGTTCGCCTTCACAGCTGCATGTCCAGAGGCTGTTCACTGGCCACCTCTTATCGCAGCCCTCTATAACAGCGTATTGTTTGTCCAAGTGAGAACTTTACTCTCTTATTAAGGTCACTGGGTAAGAGGATGGGAACTCAGACACGGAAACCCATGACAGTTTTTATCCCTGCTCAGGGGAAGACACTCGTGTTGAACTTGTGTGTGGGTACTGTGGTGAAAGGATGGTTCACAGCAGATATGTTGCCAAGTGCTTTCATCTTTTGTTAGAATATAAGTCTATTTGTAATTATGTGTCTATTGGAAACAGAAATACTGTAACAGAAATAGAAATAAATGAATAAATAAAATAGATTTCATATTCTCACCCAGATATGATGTAGTTTCTGGGAAAATATCAGAGAAATGCCTCCCTCTTGTGGTAAATAAAGTTTAATAGGCTTTAAGAGACAGTGGCTTCAGTCGATGCTTGTCATCACTTTTGTGTACTTTTCTCCTCGGGGTAAACATCTCACAAACACTTACCTCTGATAGTCCCACTTGGCCGATTTTACCGGAACAGCTCAAACTTTTTTATTGCGTCCTTTGGGTTTATATTGTTGTTGTACTTTAATTTTGATCAGTAATTATGATCATAAAGTTTGTGGATCAGTCTGAGTTCCTTTGGATGACAGCACAGGAGACATCTGTGTGCCCACAATGTACGGGCTGTGGAGCTCTTCTCCCTGTGGTTGCTGCGAGTGGAAAACCCATAATGGCCTTTAATTGGGACTTTAATTGTGTGTGGTGGAGCAAAAGCATTGACTACAAAACTGGCGGTATTTGAGTGCATGCATGCATCTTTTGTCTAAGTATATGTGTCGCTCACCAAATCCTCTTCCTCTCTTGGCCTGTGCGTTAGTTGTAATCACAGCAGCTAGTTCCATCTCAAATCATATATGTCATGATCTGTATGGTATTAGCATTAATTGCCTTCGGGGGAAGTTGCTTATGAGTCATCAAGCTCAATAAGGGCCCACATACACTGACGTGTGCTCACACAAAGATGCTTTTGGATTACAAGAACGTCAATTCTAATAGAAGTATATTCATTCCATTCAGTCATGCCCTTTGGATATGTCCTTTGAAATCAATAGGATGCATAACGGGTTAATGGGACAGCTAAAGATTTGCTGCGAGGAATGTTTTTGTTCAAATATGCCTGGTGGCATATGACCCTGAAGGAGAATGCTGCTGTAAATAATTGTAGTTACTGGTGACGTTGCAGAGAAGGAGAGGATGGATGCAATAAAAATAATAAAATATTTGTTGGGGAAAAGGTGGGTGGGCATGCACACAGAGAAGCAGCAAAAGAACATGAGCCGGAGTGCAGAGGGGAGGATAAAGAAAAACGAAGGACAGAGATGAAACAGGACTGGTTGTGCCCTTCATAATGAAACTGGCACCAGTGGGAACATTTGGATGAGATGGAAAACAAGACGCCATCTTGTGTTCCATGTGTTCATGTCAGCAGTCGCTTGGCCTCTGTTCCCTATACACATACACACTTAAGTCTACACATTAACACAACAGACACTGGCAGAGCAAGGCAGGAGCTTGTGGTTGCAGTCCAGTTACAGCGGCATGTAGTCAGGGTGGCGATTCTTCAGGAGACGCTCTTTATGTTGGAGAAGCATGTTTGTGTTGGCCCTGAATTAATAACTTTTCATTTAGTGCGGAAATGACAGGAATAGTAATTAAGGAAATGGAATGATTTTATTGGCCATGATGTTTATATTAAGTTCCAGATGTGAAGCAGCTGCTTGCTCTGCAAGAGGCGCCACCCCCCAATAAGCTATCCAGAGGAACTCTTTTTAAAAGCAAGATAACAGCTCCAGTCGATGTATGTCTGTTGCACAAACAGCATGGGAATTCATTTTCAGCTTGGAGCAAATTAGCTAATATCATGTCCAGTTTGATTTATGGGAGACAGTTGTGAAGCAGCATGAGGTCTGCTCTGTTTCTATAAGTGTGCCCCCCCCCCGGTGAAATTGATTTGCAAATAAAGTGTTACTTTATATTAGCCCTGATTTCCCCAACTGGAAAAGTTCATATTAAACAGTGGTTGTTCAGTGTTTTTACATGGGCCTCACACATGTGATAATCACTTTTACTGCCCTAAGTTCATTGACTTATAAATGCCATAATAGCATTGCTATGTTTTTTATGTTGCTTGTCACGAAGCTGTTTGGATTCCAAATTGACATCTAATTAACTTCAGCTGAAGCTGATGATGTTAATTGAGAGGTCCATGGCAAGCGCTGGCAGAGGATGAATGTAAAGACTCCTTTTGACAACCATCAACAAACATTGAAATTTGACAGATAAAAACACCTGTAAAAGTCTCCTTGCCTCATATTTTGGACACTATGTAACGTTGTTGATTTGAATTCAAATGAAGAAAGAACTAATTTGCTTGATTTTCCACTTTTAACGTAACAGTATCTCTTCTTTACTTGTACAATAATCTTTTTGATTTTTAATCATCTATTTTAAAGATGATTTCTCTTTTGCATTGGAATAATTGAGCCCTGCCAGTTACTGGAGCCAATGATGTTTTGTTCTGTTGTGATGTTCTCCCATCTGGTTCCCAGTGAAAATGCATCACTCCATTAGCATTGCCTTGTGATCTAGAGGACGCTTTAATCTTAAAAGACTATAAACTTCACTTAATTACATCCTCCAAAAATGCTCTCTATTAGTATAATGCAATCAAACAGGAAGCACATCCATTCTGTCAAGTCAAACATGCTTGAATAGGTCTTGAAAGTATTTACTGTTGTAGATTCATATTTTAAGATCTCCGGTTATGTTTAAACGTCCTGATGGATACTTTTTTGTAGGTCATAAACAGTTCCATTGGTAATACATATGAGTTTTTATTTCTCTTTGGCAGAAACAACCATAACAAGTGAGTTTAGTAGAGTCTAAACGGACTCTCTGTGTGACACACTGAGGACATTATGCTTGACCTTTCATGCCTTTTTACTATAACCTTCAGTCATGTTAATAATTGCTGTGTGTTTGTGCATAATGTCAGTTTCAAGTCTAGCAGTATCTCTTAGTAAATTTAAACATCAAAAGGAAGCAACATGGCCTGGTTTAAAATTATACACAAAGATATTACTGTTGCCTTGCAAATACTATTTCCACAAGGCTAAGATAAAATTATCCTAAGACACACTACAAAACACAAAAAGACCAAGAGTTTCCTGTGATGGAATAGCTGAATTGACAATAACTTGACCACGATGACTCTTAACTGCAGCAGGGTTGTCTTTGTCAGATTAAAAGATTTACAAAAACGTTTTCTCCTCCACTCCAGGAAATTCTCATTTGAATTATCCTTGAACATGTCCATGAGCTGTAGCTAATTGTTTAAAATGAAAATATCTACCCAAGAAATTAATTATCCAGCTTTAAGAGAGGAAGCAAATTACTCCTTTACATAACAAAATAATTTTGTTGTAAAATTGTATAATGACAATAAAGGCATTCTAGTCTATTCTATAGTTTGAGAATGTGGCTGCACATGTCATCAGAAGTCATAATTCCTTTCAGAAATGTTCCACGTTTTTTTACTTAATGTGTACTACAGGAGTTTCATTTTTGTGCTGGACTGATAGATGTACTGTTGGCCTCTTTTGTACTTAAATTAAAGCTGGTGCCTAATTTATTTATACATGTAAAAGTGATTAAATTGACCTGACTTGTAAAAATTTGAGTTTGAGCAGTCTACACTCATATAATCAATATAGAAATTATAAGACGGATATAGACTAGTTCCATCTACTTGTGTAACGTTTTTATATTACAAACATTGACAGCCATGAACTGTGCTAAAAGAAAGTTACTTCGAATTACGCAAATGTAGAGGGAAATGCACAGTGGTTCTGACAAAATAATAACGTTATCATATATTTTACTCTATCGTAAAAACAAAAAAACAACAACATAAAAAAGTACCCTAAAATAAAAACAATATAAAATACGTAAACGTCCTTTTTTTTTCGTAACATCCGGGACTTACGTCATACTTCCTGCCTAGCTCCTTCTTTTAACGCTACCAAAACAATGGCGTCCTGTAGTGAAGTAAGTCGTTTCTTCATTTTAATTCTACATAACCTACTCTTAATTAAATTCTGGTGAATATTGGTTGGTTTAGGAAATAACGATGCCGACGGAGAATGAGTTGTAAGAGCAAATTCGTTTCAAACGTGTTGTTTACCTTCCTCTGTTGCTGTTCTGAGCTAACCAAAGCTAGTTCGTGCTAACTAACTTAAGCGTTCTCAACATGCATGTTTGTGGACTTCCAGTCAGTGTCTACTTCTACTGGATGTTTAAAAACGTTTCGTCTTTGTCTGTAATTAATGAGTATTGACGTTATTTACAGACGTCTGCTACAGCCACGGAAGAGGAAACGACGGAAACTCTGCCTTCCCAGAAGAGAGAAGAGAGACTCAGAAAGTTCAGAGAGTTGCATTTCAAACGGGTTTGTGTTTTATCTGTAGCTGGTTAGTGTATATCACAAGAAACATAGGCAATGTTTTGGTGTTCTTTCATTAAAAATAATAATAATAATAACCTGAAATTCAGTAAATCGTGTTTGTGTTGCGTTATCCAACCTTTTGGAAGTCCTAAGTTTCATGGTTGAGTTATTGTCTCTGGTCAAAATGTCAAAACAGCTGCGTAGACATCATTGTGTTATTCTGTTACATCTTTCACTGCAGAATGAAGCACGTAAACTGAACCACCAGGAAGTCGTGGAAGAGGACAAGAGACTGAAACTCCCCTCTAACTGGGAGGCTAAAAAAGCCCGACTGGAGTGGGAGCTTTCTGTGGATGAAAAGAAAAAGGTGTGATCAATAAACTCTAAAGCACTCCAATCATTTAGAGTGATGTCCAAATGTCAATGACCAGATTTTCAAACTTCATAATAAATGAAAGCCATATTTAGATAGAACAGCAATGTGGACTTGAATTGTGTCTACAAAAAGCTATGTTGTCATGTCTCTGATGTAATTTTTCTAGTGACATTGGTTTATTTTGAATTAGGCATAATACTATCAAATCATCGCTAACAATAGGAGAGTTTGCTTTTGCCCGTGAGGCGAGGGGATTTGTAGAAATAAATATTTTGCCTAAGTTCAAATTCATCACTGACTTAGGCATAGTGATGTGGTAGCATCTCTGCACTGCTAAATATGAACTGAGTGGACAACCATCTTACCCAGAAGCCAGTTTTTTAAGATTTATTTTGGGGCTTTTTGTGCCTTTAATTGTAGAGATAGGATAGTTGGAAATCAGGGAAAGAAGTAATTTAAGGATACCTTCCCCCCCACGCTGTAAACCTAGGGGAAACACTGACGTATATGGCCTCACTTCTTATTTTATGTTAGTTCTAAACTTAGAAACATTAAACCCTGAAATATCAAATGAATTACATTTAGTAAACAATAGCTACTATTTTGCTTTTAGGAATGTGCTGCCAGGGGGGAGGACTATGACAGAGTGAAGCTGCTGGAAATCACAGCTGACGATGCAGAGCGGTGGGAGAGGAAGAAGAAGAAGAAAAACCCAGATACTGGATTTGCAGGTTAGTTTCTGTAGTGTATGTTATGATTTATGTGAGTTTTTGTATGTGCCATGTTTTAAGTTGAAACCAGTGTTCCATTTAAGATAAAGAAGAGCTCACTGGTGTAATGTTATTAGATTAACTTGACTAGTGTTATGTCCTCGCTGACTTCATTCATTTGGAAAGAAAGATGATTATTGGTCAACTTGTGCAACACAATGCAACATCAGTGAGTAAGAAACTACCTGAGGCAATTAGATGAATGCAAGTACAAATTCCTGGTTGATTAGATTGTTTCTATAGGCTCATCAGACACCTTCTGTGGGTGTCTCACAAGCATATGAAGACAATATTACTAAACCTTACTCCTACACATAACTGCTGGGACAATACTGTCCACCTCTACCTGTGTGATGGTTGCTCAACTGAGTGCTGCATGTCATGTCTGACAGAAAGCTTTTCTGCTGCAAAACTGCTGAAATCATCCCTTTTATTTCTACATTTAATTTGCATTTTAAAAGGGACATCAAGAATAAAATGTTTTGTTTCATATATCACATTTTTTATGTAGTTTCTCAAAATAAATATAAAACAAATACACAAAATGTATTCTTTTTATTTTCAGACGTAGACAGTGAAAGGTATGATATAATATTACACCTTTTCCTCTGTATGTGTCACAGTAAATTATCCACAGATACTTTTCTACATTCCTTTTTGCTGAGAACTATGGAAAATAAGGTGGAAGACTCTTACTTATTTGTCATTTACGAGATCTCTATATGAAATGAGGCTACAGCTTCGTCAGCAGGGCAGCTATAGTGACCCTTTGTGGCTGCTCTAAAGTTTTAACATGGGTGACGAATTAAAAGCAAGTATTTCTCTGCGGCTCACTGCCAAGGCCAGTGCGGCCCAGTGTGTACACTGACTTAACACCATTGTGTGGAAAGACCAAACGGTTTCTGTCTTTTTTTAGCATAGCATATTGTTCCAACCTCCCTTTTGATTACACACAGATAGATCTTGTTGGTAAACAAAATCTGACGATTTTCAGCCCACTCAGCCCAGACCAGCGACCTGCCGGTCCTCACAAATATAGCCAATTTTGTTCAGATCTCAGACGCAACACAAGCTTTCCATGCGGTACACACAGCAACACAAACACTGATGGATGGCCATACAAGCTAACATGTCGGCGGTGTAGACATGAGCTGCCCGTCAGCAGAAGGGAAAAAGGTTTGACATTTTAAGTTACTCTCTGCCCATGGTGGATCCACGCATCTGCGCTGCCCAAATGTATGTGTATGCTCCCGTTGTCCTTCTCTTTCTTTCTCCCTCGCCGGCGGGGGAAACGCAGCTCATTAAAATATTGCTAATTATCCCGTAATATTATTTAGTTAGACAGGGACACTGAAATGATCAAACTTAGGTGTGTGAGTGCATAATCAAAAAGTTTGACCTCATGTCACAAGTATCACTTTGCAGGAAATATTATTGATTAATATCGATTATAATTGGATGTAAACATAAGAAATCTCTTTGCAACCACAAATATAATTTACAGAGGCAGTGAGAAACATAAAAAGACAGTTAAGAGTCTGTAAAGCCGTTTTCACATATGCACTCCGGATAATATCTAGATAATTACAAGCGGACTTCTCCGGAGATTCTCTCAACCTAGGCGTTTACATATGCTCCTCACAGCAGGGGACTATCCCTGTCAGAGGGGAGGGGGATTTCCTCGATGTAAATAAACAACGCGGAAGTAGCGGCCGAAGTAACAGAATCCGCTACACAACATTATAATGACAATATTTGCCTTTTTATCAATGCTATGTGTAATCCACTGGAATGACAACATCCACAAAAGAGCGGAGAACAACATACTGACGAACAGAAAACAGAATGCAGCCGTTTAATTACGTTCTGTATGTGTGAAAAGGGTTTAAGTGATCATTCCTTCAGGAGAATTCCTGAAGACAGTCGCACAGTAAACTTACGGTAGCTGTTTCTATAGTTTGATTTATTAATGAGCTGCATAATAAACCTTCGGTTTAAGAGTTAGAGTGTTACTAAAGGCTGTTTGAATCTTACTACAATGTCAAAATCTAATGCAGAGCAATTCATGTCTTACTTGAAAATATAATTGCCAAAGAATGTAATCGGTACATCTCTTCTATTCATGTACAAAGTAGTTTTGTAAATCAATAAAGCCCAAAGAATAGACAAATCGTAAATAACTGCAGCCTTATTTCAAATGAGACTTTTGAAGGAAGTCTGAACTGCTTGTACATTTCTTTGTGGATCCAGAGTTAATTTCTTTCCCTTTACCACACGATGTGATCAGATGATTCAGTTATGGGGTTTTCAGTAAGTACAGTCTCTCTTACAAGTAGCATGCAAAAAGAGAAATCTGTGGTGAATTACTAATTTTTTCCTTGAAACTGGTAGCCTCACTGCGTTGCATTAAACAATAATGAATTGGTCTGGAATGGCATCTTTTGCCAGCGTCCATGTGTCATCTGCTGCTCCTGTCCAGCAGCTCCTTCTATCATATAAGTGTTCAATCCATTCCTAAATTCATGCCTGGCAGATATTTTTCCATGTTTCTTTGATGTAATGCTTGATATGACAGGGGTGAAATAATGCTACAGATTTACACAGACAGACAAGCAATCCGTCGTCTGCCCCTGGTAAAGCTGGAAAAATAGTTGTGGGCAGAAATTTGTGTCAGAAGAAACTAAATTAGAATTTTGTGTATTTGTATTTCAATTGTTCAACTTGATTAAGTGAGTTACATACCCGTATTTAACTTTATATGAAAAGAACAAGTGGGTGGAGATCAAAATGCCATAGACATTTAAAGGGATATTGTGGATATCCAGGACAATATCATGGAGGAAAAAATGCCTGTGTGGTTTTGTGTTGTTCAGCCGCACATCACAGCTTGGACAGTTTAGTAACAGGTAAAAATGTTCTTCACCTAAAACCTGTTGGTAGGAAATATCCCTAGTGAGGCTTCATCAAAAGGGAAGATATATATGTCTCACTCATCTTACAGAGCTACAGGTTGCTAACCCTCTTGCCTTCTTGCTGTTTGTTGGCAAGTATAACCCATTTTAATTTTTGTATCTTCTTCTCACACAGGATATGCAGAAGCTCAGTTTCGGCAGTATCAGAGGCTCACCAAGCAAATCAGACCAGACTATGAAAGCTATGAGAAGCAGAGGGAGGACTGGTGAGATAAGCATCTGTACCCTTCTCTTTGCTGTATCAATACTATATTTGTTACAATAATACATATTCCAGGTAGACAGACAGGTCAACTTGGGAGCAAGTGCCTATGGCATTTCTACATTTATATGCATTTCAGATAACAAGCATACAAATAATAGATAAGGACATCCTGCTATTTAGCCGGAAAATGTGACATTTCTAGCCAAGTAAAATGAATTGTGACAATTGGCTTGCAGTAATAATCGTAGAATTTACCCTTTCACGTGGGTACAAGGCATTTTCATTATGTTGACTTGAGTTCAGTAAACCCTTTTGCCCTTGGGTTATGTGCTCAAAGCTGCTCACTGCCAAAAATATTAAGATTTAGAATCCAAGGTCAAAGAAGATTTTGGTGCCTGGGGGTTTTAAACTTATAGGTTGACCCATACAGAACCATGACAGATCCACCGACACATTTTGCCCTGAGGCAACATCATCATCTCTCATTAAAATGGCCATGATCACAATGGTGGAATAGAAAACACATTTTAAGTATGTTAAAATGGTGATTTCTTTTGGTTGTGCTGTCTAATCAATTTGCTGGTGCTCCACAGTGGTGAAGACTTCCACCCCACGTCCAATAGCCTAATTCATGGCACCCATGTTCCCACAAAGGAGGGCATTGACAGGATGGTGGAGGATGTGGAGAAACAGTAAGTCACACGAAAACAGACCTATACTGCCCTCACCATCAATTTACTTAATCTGATTCTGTCTGTCCATTAACTATCAGCCTAAATCACTGTACACTTAATCAAAAAAAACACAGATGTGATTTTCTCGAATTGTCTGGAATTCTTACTTCTCTAACCTGAAGGGCTGACCCGTGTTGATTATGATTTTTTGTCTTTTAAAGACCGCTATGAGCCATCTTGGGTGTTTCACAAGTAGCTTGAGGGGGTTTCACAGGAAGAGTATGTTGCTACTCAAACGGGCAATGTATCTAACAAGATGCATTATTATGTTTTGTAATCAATTAAATTGAGCAGATGCAGGACTTCAACTTGCCAAATAACTTAATACTTAAAAGCCTCTCTCTTAATAATTATTTTGAAGTCATGCAGCCCCTCACCCAAATGCATAGCTGTATGCACATTAATTCATAAATAGGTAAAAGTAGTGTTCATTCACAAACTCAATCAAGAGAGGTTTAAAGTTTTACACTTAAAGTATTAGCCGTTTACATTTATTAAAACCTGACTTACAAACCCTGTTGAAGGCACTTCCACTAATACTCTCCACACTTTCATACCTTAATCCAGGCATACTGCTAATATTCATTATACAATGTGACCCAAATTGACAACCCAATAACCTACCATACCAACAGAGTCTATAACACAATCCCATTCTCATCAATTTAGGTAACTTAACCTTAAAGAAGTGCTTGCCTACTTTTCTGGTTCTGCAAGGGAGTGCATTTCAGTGTAAAATGCAGGTGAACAAAATCAAAAACACATCAACTTTAAAAAAATGTTTTTCCCAAATGTTCAAATAACCATCTTTTTTTTTTTTTGTAAGAAAACTGGGTGTTTTGAAATGAGTTAAAAATTTGACACCACAGAGAAAATCCTTATGAAAGCCCATTTAATGTGGCAGTGCATTATTTTGTAGATGGGGTAGGGAGTGGGTTCTAGTTATATGACCTATGTCGGACAAATGATTCCGTACTATAATGAATCTAGTGGCAGGGTGGATAGGGTTACATGGTTCCATGGCAAAGCTTAATGGAAGCCAGTATAATGTCCCAGCCTAGAGGGATCAAATTGTATCTGTCCTACACATTTGAGTCACTTCTGCTTCAAACTGTTACATTCTTCCATTGGTTCTGTAGGATTTTGTCTTTTCTACACCAAATCCTTCACCTTTGATTACCCTGGTTTGCCCCCGAGCTGTTCAACATTTGAGACAGTCTTTAGGCTTGTTGTAAAGATGCGACTGTGGGGCATTAGACAAGGATTCAGTTGCCAGGGTATGACGCACAACAATGCTTTGAAGACACATTAAATCAAGAGAGGGAGCTCACAAATTTAAACTATTTTCCTCTGAGTATGTATATGCATGTTAGGTTTTCCATTGACAATGTTCTTGCCAAATTTAAATGCAAACCCTCAAATTATTGCATATAGCCAATTATTGTTATTGGATCGGACATGGGTAGCATTCATAGTGGTTTAAAGAATCCTCCCTAAACTGTTTTTATTTTGGATTGTCAGGATTGAGAAGCGAGCCAAGTACAGTCGACGCAGAGCCTACAACGACGATGCAGACATTGACTACATCAACGAGAGAAATGCCAAGTTCAACAAGAAGGCAGAGCGTTTCTATGGCAAATACACTGCAGAAATCAAACAAAATCTGGAGAGAGGCACAGCTGTCTAATGGCTCAAATCACCTAAGTGGATGTGTTGCTTTTGTTTCTTCTTCATCCAAGAGTTCTGGGTGCATCCTCTTTTTTTTTTCTGTACTTAATGCAAAAAAGACCATGACTTTAAATGCAAAAAGTGATTATTTAGGTAACAATTTTATATAATGCTGAGGTTATTGTGAGCAAACAATTTTATTGTTTTAAGAAATGTATTGTGTGGTCTTCTATATTGTAAAGTATTAGAATTTAAAACAGTCCTTTTGTGATTGTTTTCCATTTCTTGTTAAATAAACCAGTCCAAACATCCAGTTATCTGGTTGTGTTTTTTTCTGTGTGCTGACTGTGTGTGGTCCCATGATGTAGACAGTTTGAGTGTGAGTATGAACAACCAGAAGAGAAAAAACAATTGAGCAATTTAATTTATTATCGTCTGTCTCTATTAAACCACTTCGCCTTAAGCTGCAATGTGTGTATGAAAGCTTTGTGACAGGAAATGAAAACTGGTTTCAATGCAGGTTTTCCATTCTTTACCTCCTTGCTGTTTCTGTCTACAGAGGATAATGCACCTTCTACACAGCCACAGGTTTGTTTAGGCAGTAATACCTTTGACTTTATTCAAGTCTATAAATATATATGTGGAGTTAAACTCTGTAGTATGTGACACGGTTGTGTCAATCCTCAATAATTTAAAGATAATATTTGTGCGCAATTTCATGCAGGCAGCCATGTCACAGATTTATGTTTGGCTGCTGACAGGTGGGAGACATCTTCAGATGGTGTTTTTCATCTGATGGCTGTTGGGTAATTGATGTGTTCAGGTTTTTATGAGTGATATTAGTCCTATCTGATTTGCCTGAGGATACTGGCTGGGTGTTGGATTATCACTGCATCAATACATTCAAAGTTGTGTCTCAGAGATAATCTAACAATTTCTTATTTTGTCAGGTCCAGTTCCCACTTAAGTACTCCCTCTAATGCAAAAGAATCATTTAAACCTTGTAAAAACATAATTTCCAGATTAATAATTGTGTTGATGGAATTAGTTTCTCTGTTGACACACAACCTAGCAAATGGCCAAGTGACAGCAATTCAAAATTTTAAGCCAAAAGGGAAAATAAAATACAATACAATACAATTTGCCTCAAATTTTAGGGAACTATGCTTTATTTATTTTCATACCATAGATGTTGATTATCAAGTAAATGCTCTTGTATCTCTTCTACTCCACTTCCACTGACATTTATGTATCTGGATATTTTATCCCTTCTCAGTAATTAATCAGAATTACAGATCAGTTTTACAGCAGGAGACATGAAGTCTGGCAGTTTAAACTGTGTGTGTTTACCCTTTAATTACAGCAGCTAGTGACATGCATATTGAAAATCAACCTGAAAATCCCTGTGAGGATTATAATTAAAGATTGTTATCTAAACCAATAAATAAATCACATTCTGGCAATAATTCAACTGTATTTATTATGCCAAGACCGAATCAAACCAAATAAACACATGCTTTGAGGTTAAACTTAAGAGCAACCACAACAGCAGGATACATCAAGTTATGCAAGAAGGAACATGCTTGAGAATATAATTGAAGCTGAAATCTAATGGTGAATGATGGTGATAATATTTTAGTCCCATCAACAAAAAGTTATGAGCAGTGAAAAAAATAGTCAGTGCAGGTGTTATTCCCATCACACATTTTGAATTGATAAGACTACAAAAATGGCTGGACTTTACTACCGTTCCAAGGACTTCTGGCAGCTTAACCATGCACCATACTGACTCAGGGGCTTATAGAAATAGTTATCAAAATTCTCTTTTACGTTCCTTTGCATTTCCCATCATGCCAAAATGCTTTGGTTAAAAAATAGGTGTAATTTTAGGCTGAGTAAACAGCAACTCATGAGGGACCATGTTGTTCTAATGTGAATATTTTAGAGGCATTTATAATGATCTGCATTGATATAATTACATAGACACCTTAGTATAAGTTGTATTCGTTTAATTAAGAGACATGTAATATGCAATCTTACATACTGTTTAGCCCTGAAGACATTACCCATACACCGTTTCTGCATTTCTATGATAATAGTGACACCATGTGGCCATCAGAGAAATTGCAGCATCACATCCATAAATATACAGTAGCTACTTATTACCAGACCTTTCCCTTTTCAGAAAAAGCGTTTTCACAGATTAACCGCCAACACATTGACAAACCTCGTCAGTGGGGAGCGTTTTTATGTTTAAACTATTAACCTGTTTATATATGAACTTAGTGTTATGGAAACTTTCATTCCAGGGCCATGATGACAAGGATCTTTATTGTTGCTGGGTTAACCAGTCATTTTCCTGGACTTATTGCAAGTAATTTTGCTATTTTACTTCCCATAAAAACTTTCTCCAACAGTTTTAGGACTCAAAAAAGAGTAAGCAAGAGCATGTCAGTGATTTAGGTTTAGAAAAAGATGAACAGACAAAATCACTTTTATTTAAATAGATCTTTATTGGATTCAATGAAATGCAAAAAAAAAAAAAAACAGTGGAAAAAAAATGATCCCACCTGGAACGAATTCTTCACTTCTTCCAACACAACATCTGAAAGAAAACATTGTCAATGTAATCATTAACCATATGTACAAAGGATTTACAGTATTTACAGAAGTCCATCTATTTTGCCACACTAGTGTGACATGGCAAGGTGGTGCTTTCTTGCTTTGGACGTTCTTCCTGATTTAACTGGAACCCAGTGGCCGTATGGCTTCCTGCTTTCATAGCTGTCCATTCTTGGAGTCACCTTAGCACAAGATAGAGCTACCACTGTTGGTTTCACCACAGAATTCTAAGCGGAAAAAGGAGAAGACAAAAATATTTATTACAACACATCAAAATATGCTTGCAGAAATGTTAAAGTTTGATTATTACATTTTTTTGTTTAAATCTCTGAAAGTTCAGATGATCTGGAAGGGACTACCATTTAGGTCACTTACATTAATGCTGAAAGAGATTTTCCCTTTTTGGCACAGTTTCAGGATAGGTACATCTTCGGACTCCTCCTCATTCATCTGTTCCAAAAAGACAAGAAAAGCAAATCTAGTCAGATAGGTAGGGTGAGTGTTGAACTGTCAGTTTATACACAAGTACGGTAATAGCTTCAAATTCTTGTATATCAAAACACTATCACAGCATAGGTTACAAGTAAATCTCAGCTGCCACAAACTGCATCTTTCATGCTAGTTTCCCCCTTTCCAACTGCTTTAAAAGACTATGCTCAACCATTAAATCAATGCTAAAAAGATATACCTTATCACACAATAAAACAAAACAAAAAAATGCAAATAAAAAGGATGCCTTCTCTTTCTACAGTGGCAGAATGATCATGTAGGTTTCCCAGCACCTCAGGACATGGCCGGTGTACCAACTTATCTTTGGCATAGGGAGTGGAGTTCTTCATCTTTTTTTAGCTCTCTTGACAGGGACAGTCACTATAATGAAGTCCAGTCCCTGCACACCATCAGCAATTGGAGGATTCTGCTAAATAACAATGACCCATTTCAACTGCAAGCATACATACATTTTGAATGACAAAATTGTACTGTTCTCTGTATCAGTAATAGTTATCATCAAACAAAATCTGATCTGCTTGTTAAACATCAATGTGTTGGACTAAAAATGTATGAGGTGAATGCGTTGTGTTTAAAATGTGAGGAGATCCAAATACATGTGTAAAATTGCAAACCTCTAGTTGATACACTTAACATGTGGAACATTTTAAGATTCATCAATTAACCTTTCACTCAAACACATAATGTCGTCGCCCAAGTCACATGACTGCCCTTTAATCCCAGGTGCCGATGAGTGAAGAAGACCACTGTCATGTTATCTATGAAGACAGGAATAAATACAGAGAGTATGTGTGTTCCCTCAGAAATCCAAAGGTTAACACAAGACACAGGAAATTCAACAACATATACCTCAGGCGTACAGTATCAATAGGCATCTTTAGAAAATACACTAAGCAATCATTTCTGTATATTTACTGCAACTTTTGTAAAAGCACGACAGCTAGGATCCACCTTAATAAAAAAAAAACAGGAAATCTTCACGTACAGCCAAAGACGCTCGAGTCTATTGCACATGTGGAAAAATAATTCATTTCAGTAGACACAGTTGTATTGTAAAAACTATTCAATTTCCTCCTAAAATTGCAACACTGTGCTTACAACAGGTCACAAATGGAAAATATGGAAATATCTTCTAGGCCTCAACAGTCTTATGAAGTCTTATTTCAGGTGTGTGGTGTGTTCAACATAAAACTGAAATCAAGCCCCACCTGTGCAAGAGTCTTCAAGGGTTTTGTGTTACCCTTGTCCCTGGCTCTGGTGACACTGGTTTGGATTCCAAATGCTTTGACAGGATTGGTTTCACGCTCTCAGGAAGGTCCAGATTATCCACTCCTAGGATCTTCACAGAATTGGCATACGCAGCTTTGAGAAGTTCCCTTTTATCTGGGGTACACAGACAAGTTTTCAGAGATTATTATTTCAATATAACCATCTTCATACCTGCTTTGATGTAATAAATAAACAATTCTTAAGTTATTACTATTCCCTTGTTTTGTTTCATTGACTTACCATCCACACTCAAACTATCAGAGCGTTCTGATGATCTTGACTTGCTCCTGTGAGTTCTTGAGGAAGATTTGAGAGAACGACTAGCAGCCTTGCTGTATCTGCTCCAGCGCCCGGGTGACCTGGAACGAGACCTGTTGTGTCTGCGACTGGAGTGGGACTTTGTCAGTGGTGACCGGCTGCAGGAGCGAGACCGGGCCCTGTAGCGCCGTGGCGGGGAGCTGGGACGTCTGCCACGGCCATGTCTGAAATGGTTGTCGCAGCGACAGCGTGAAGAAGGTCTGTGGCAACGAGGATGAGAACGGGACCTCGAGCGGGGAGACCTGCTGCCGGATGAAGATGATGAAGAAGAGGACCTGTTGCTACCACGTCCCCTGTGGTCTACAGAGTCAGAGGAGCGGTCACTTTCACAGCTGATACTTGATCCGCATTGTGAGGGAGACGGGGCAGGGCTGTCGAAGATTACATTGATGCAATCAGTCTGGCGGGCACATGCCATTTCGGATTGAGAGTCATTTCCCTTTGCCATAGTTTGGCTTCCAAAATACGATCTGAAAAGAGACAAAAGAAACTGCTCAATGAATATAGAAACGTTACATAAAAATGTGTGTTTTTTTTTGTCGTAGTTGCAGCAACGTGAGTCATTGCATCTTTTTAGATAAGTGCCTTAATGAGTTCGGCCATAGTGGAATGGTTGTTTTCACGGTGTTGCCCCTAGCGACCAAAGCCACGTTGTGTAACAGCAATGGCGGACTGGAGAGTACTGGAAATTTCCATGACGCAAGCCATAGATAGCGAGACTAGCCTGAGCTTACTTTAATAACTACGTCAAGTGACTTTTAAGCATTTGCTAATGTAAAACATCGGTACAATCGAAAATTCCCTGATACAATAAAGTTTTATGAAAAACCCGAAGTTACAACAAACACAGTTAGTAGGTAGAGGAGGTTGTGTTTCTTACCAGGTCGACTGGTGTGTGAAGGCCCCGCTCTGTCGATGTGAATACAATATATGTAGAAAAAAAACACAATGTATCCCGACACAAAGGTATAGACTTGACTTAAAGAAGTAAAAATGATCAAAGTCGGTGGTTTGAAGAAAGGTGATTGCAACCGGTGGCTCCTGGTCCGTCCGACGTCGTCACTCAACTTACAATGAAGCCAGTCGAGGAACACGTTTCGTAACCAGTGTTGCCAGATCTCGCGAGAGAAACAAGCAACCAGCTCTATGGAAACAAGCCCAAAAACAAGCGACCTGGCTCCTCAAATAAATAAGATCGCGATCGTGTTTGGCTTTCTTGTGGAGAGTTGGGAGAGAATCAGTAGAGGTTTATACAGGGAGCAAAGCAAGCCCAAACAAGCAACTTCACTTTAGAAAACAAGCCCAAAAACCGCAACCCGCGACTGACTATATTTGCAAGCCACTTTTCAGAAAAACAAGCCCAAAGTCGCTTATAACAAGCGGACCTGGCAACACTGACGACCCGAGTCTTTTGAACGACTCTTTGTCATGACGGCTCCTTTTGTTAAGAACAGAAATGAGTCGGCTTTCTTTTGTCGAGGTATACCACTCATTATTTCGAACGGCATAACATATCCAATCATGACACCAATCATCAAATTGTTTCCCGGTCTGAATTATGTCATTTTCCACTTATCACTCAAAAGAAACCGATCAGTTGTACAAATCTTTCAGGAAGAAGAAGTTCGTCGAATAACTTCATAATGATGTACTATTTAAACAAAACAAAAAAAAGGAAGCCTTGAAATATGACAAGAGTAAACAACTAGTGTCAACTAAAATAAATGTGAGTGAGTATTTAGGCTGTAATTCGCCTTTATAAAATAACATAAAAACGGGTATGACGAACTTGCAGAAGAGAGATCTCGCGATATTTTCGTAACCAATAGTAAGTAGTTTGTTGCTTCCGGAGGTCTCTCCAAAGGTCTATAAAATTGTCTAATCTGTCTTTCGCTCGCCTGAACCCTGTTTCTCTGAAACGTATTCAAACATATCGTGCAGAGATGGATATTCTGACAGTGTTGCCGTCCAGTTTTGGATATGTCATATTTACCTACCTGTACAGCTGGATTATGCTGGGCTATTTAGCAGTTAAGGTTGGGGCTGCAAGGAAGAAGTACGATGTCAAGGTAGTTGAATAAGAGTTCAGTTAATATTTACAATCTACTCCTGGAAGCTGGAAACTGCAGAGGAAGCGTTTTTAATGTCTTTGTCCGTATTATATTGTCTTTGTTGTACTTTGCAGTATCCCACTATGTACAGTGACAAGGAGCAAGTGTTCAACTGTATCCAGAGGGCACATCAGAACACCCTGGAGGTGTACCCACAGTGGCTTGTGTTCCAGACCATTGCAGCTCTTGTCTACCCGGTATGTTTTATTTCTATACAATTTATAATTAAAATCAACGAATCTGTGTGTTGTTTTTTTAGTCTAGAGCTTTGCTTGGTGGACTTTGAGAATTACAAAGAGAGGCTTGTGGGAGCGGTAGGAAAGTACTATGATCTTTGGCACAATTCCTCTAGATAACAAAGTCAAACGAAAAGGACTGTCATAATGATTCAGCAATTTTTTTACTTGGTCTGTATCATACTTGTATTTCTTATTTTTCTCTTTGTGCATTATCTTAGTTATCAGCCTCAGTGCTCGGGGCAATTTGGGTGACCAGCAAGTTTTCATATGCCTGGGGGTACTACACAGGAGGTAAGACTGATTTAATATTGAAAGATTAATACCTAAAACACACAACCCCACACCCCCCCAACACACACAGTTACATTTTATATATGTGTATATATATATATATATATATATATATAAATAAATAAACAAAAGTTAAGTTATACAATATAGCAGTATAGAAGCCATGCGTTGGATTTCTTACAATGACTTGCCTAAAGCTTTTCATCTATCTTGTACACATCTTTACTGCTAGTCATTACTTAGGTGATGGATTACTCAAGTACTGACCACTGTACTTTGACCCAACAGGCTTGTAAGAACTCTGATCTACATCAATTTTAGTGTAAATGTCATCAATGTCATTTATAATAATTTATAAAAAATGAAATATGATTTAAATTTAATAACAGAGAAAAAGGGCATAAAACTCATTCATTCTTGTTTTTTTCTTATGCTGTTTCCGCTAAAGTTTGCATTGTCCTGTTTTGTTAATTATTTCAGATCCAGCCAAAAGGATGAATGGTGTCTATGGCTACATTGGATACTTCGGTGTCATCATTCTTTCTATATCTGTTGCCCTGCAGTTGCTTGGATTCTTTTAAGGAATTACCACATTGTATTTCCTACATCTGTCTAAAGAGTTCACTCATTTCTACAGGCTCGCATTATATTCTTCAGATGCAAAACTCTAATCTGTTGTTAAATACTTGCCATTTATACACATTATAATGTTAACATCATTTTATGGCACACTAACTGGATATGTATTTTTTTTGTCAATGGTTTGTCCATTTTTTAAATCAACAATAAAGAAGATACCACATTCCCCAGATACAGTTGGTTGCCTATATTACTAAAAGGGTCAACAACAGGCATCAAGGCTCAGTGTGAGTCACATGATGTTTCAGGTGCAAATCTCCAATGAAAGCACAAAGCAAATGGTACAAAAAGCCTTTCTGAAGGATGTATGAAAAAACAACAATAGATCATTGCAAATGTTGAATTGTTTATTTTAGAAGGTTATTGAATCAAATATAACACTTTTCTCAAAGTTTTTCCATAAAAAAATGTTTTTTAAACAATTGTTTAGTTGCTCTGTATCCACACTGAATCATCAATGTGAATTGGCCTGTAGGCTGCATAACATAATATATAAACATGTAGATTTTAAGTCTTTTAAAGATTTGATATATTGTCCTTATTTTCTTAGTGTAAGACAATTTACAGTGTGCCTTGGCTTCAGAAATCAATAATAAAAGTGAATGGTCCCATTCTGTGTTCTGTGTTTGGCCTTCATTTATTTTTTCTCTTACTGATTAAGAGTGCATAAAACCAATATGATGGTTACATCTTTTAAAACACAGGAAATAAAAACAAAAAACAGGTTAATTCATATCCGTAACCTGTATCATCCAAAATGGTAGGGAAAAATAAAAGGACTGATAATGGAAATAATATTAATACAAATAATAACTTAAGAGTTTGGGCTTTTCTTGTCATTTTTATTCTTCTATAATACTGAAAAGTTTCTTTGCATTCTCTTTTTTCATGACTTAAAGGGCTTTTATGTAAGACAGAAAGACGTTTTGTTTTAGTCACAAAACTTGGACTAATCCTGGATGTTCTTTGACTCTGCTTGCTCGTGCTCGCTACGATCGTGAACGCGCTCTTCCAAAGCAAAGGACCCGGATATAAAATGTAATAGTAAGCCTGTTGTCATAGGGTTGTTTTTTTCATATATATATACATATAGCCTACTCTAGATGTTGAGAAGGACTGAAATGTAACAAATTATTAACCGCGTGGTATTTGAAACATCATACATAGGCTAAACATTGAAATGTTTATAAACATTCCTATTTTGTTCTCAACACTTGAACGCAACATTATCAACGACTTCTCACTCACCAAATGGGTGTGGATTAACTGCGCATGTGCATGACCGAGCTTTTACGGAGGCTGATCGGGTTTATCCAGGGGGTCTACATCAAAAAAGGAAAATAAAAGGTAGGAATTCCTTTGAAAGTAACATTAAACTCAACATATACTGTTCGGCAGTGTGTGTTCGCTCGGCCCTACCGTTGTCATTTGCGTTATGGTATTATTTTAGCGTTTCCGTAGCAAGTAGGAGTCTTCAAGGAAATGTTTGCTAGTGCCGAAGCTATGAACAATAGGCTCCGACTACACTGCTTTTTAAATTCCTATACGAATTGTATGTGTTAATGACTTTAAAATGGATACCACAGCAGTATTGTTGTTAAATAGATTTCAAAAATCTGTAAAAACCTAAACTTTGTGGTGTCTTCTGTTTGGTAGACTATATAAGACTGGGATTGAGCATCATAACCTACACAGTAACATGTCAGCAGCTCCACATCAACATGTTATTGCCAGACAGTCATAATAAGTTTGTGTAGAAGTTAAATAAGTCTTGAATATTACTTACAACAAACAATTGTGTCGTCGTGATGACTAACTATTTCTAAAAACTTTTCTGTGTTATTTTGTCACTTGTACGAGTTGTTTACCTTTACGACATTTCTCCCAGAGTCATGTCAGGTTTTCTGGACGGGATCCGGTGCGGAGATTGCGAATGCAATGTGGACTGGGGAGAAAGGAGAAACACCATCGCATCTGTTGCAGCTGGAGTTCTGGTATTCACATGTTTTTGTAGACGGTGGTTTGTACCTGCCCCCTGGTTACTAATGTGTAGTATATGCAGGACTCTATGTTTCAGATTCCAGATTTACACCGCTGTAACAGACATGCAGGCTCGTACTCGTCATTGAAGTCCTTTTTATTAAATCTTGATCTTGTGTTTCCAGTTCTTCACCGGTTGGTGGATCATCATCGATGCAGCAGTGAAATATCCTGATGAAGGACAGTTTCATCATGCATATCACACTTGTGGAGTCATTGCTACAGTGGCCTTCCTCATGTAAGACCGACTATGTTTACTGTTTCTGTGACATGATATAATCTTGAATTTGACAAAACAGGGACTCACATAGTTTGATTATTTGGTGGTGCTTAAGCTTAAAGCCCCAGGCCTATCTCCATCCTCATGCCCCCCTTCTGGAGGTCACAAGGTAACAGCTATCTGGTGACAACTAAGCAATTCACAATTTCATGGTACTGAAATGTTATTAAAACCAAGAAAATTGACCTTGGTGCGCAATGGTTAGTGTGTTGAGACTCTCGTCTCGAGCGGTAGGCCCGGGTTCGCTTCCACCCGTGGCCCCTTTCCGCATGTCATTCCCCGCTCTCTCTCCCTGGTTTCCGACTCTATCCACTGTCCTATCTCTGTATTAAAGGCACGAAAAGCCCAAAAGAAAAAAGAAAAGAAAAGAAAATTGACCTTGTGATGCATATTTTTTGTTCTAGTTGTTTAGACAGGCGGGATTGTGATTGTAGTTGGTTCCTTCAGAACTCCATATTGCCTTATGTACTTCTAATCTATGTGCCAAGAAAATGTATATTTCTAAAACCTTATCAATCCAGGCAATCAAGTGAAAGTAACTAACTCTGCAGGTTCAGATATGTTTGTAATATATATTTTTTTTAATGTCATTTCACCAATTTAGGATAAATGCTGTTTCAAATGGCCAAGTGAGGGGGGACAGCTACAGTGAAGGCTGCATGGGACAGACTGGTGTGTATAAGAGGACATAAATTAACTTAATATACCCACAAGCACTTTTCAAGTTCCTGTTCAATATGGTGGTTTCTTTACTGGATATTCTAATACCATCCTTTCTGTTGTTTACTGCCTTAGGACCCTCATTTCAGAGGGTTTGTATCAGTATACCAAGATACATACAGTGAGAGACAAATCCATAAAGAAGTGCTGTGTGGAGTCACCCATTAACTGACTCTGTCTTATCTCTGTATGCAGGCGCTCGAGTGTGGCTCTTCATCGGCTTCATGCTGGCTTTTGGCTCCCTCATTGCCTCCATGTGGATTCTGTTTGGGGGATTTGTTGTGGCTCGTAAGTTCTGTTTGTCTTCTAATCACAATTTAATTGAAGTTGCAATGACTGCAGTAGTCTGTTGTCCTTTTCAGACTGATGTTTCAAGGCGTGAAATTTATGTCCCAAAAGCGTAACGGGGGGAAGAAGTGATCCCTACTTTGTACCGTGTTCAGAGGCTCTCTCAGGCTTCAGCAACGCTGACAATGTGAATTCACAGATTGGGGCACCAATATTACGTCATTGCAGAATCATTATGAATGTCTTCAGATGTGATGACGGTGGAGCTTCATTACGGGGCTGTAGCAGAAGTGCAGTCTGAAAAGGGCTCGTATTGTGGTGGGATGATAGAGCTTTACAGATTGTGATTCTGTAACAGTGCGTTACGATGCTCCGCTGTTATAACGCTTTTGTTCGAAAACTTCAGATGTGCGACTGCGTTATTGGTTGGCAAGGCTGTGATTTCACATTTGCGTTACAGCGTTTTTGAAGCACTGGAGGCATGACGTATTCAAACAGCAGGAGTTTAACATACACACACTCAGTCATGCAAACACACACAACGCTGTTTCCCCCTGACCACTCAGAATTTACACATTGCTTCTGCCTTCCCTGTTTTGCACCTCTGTAGTTATAGGGCTTTCACACTTACAGAAAACTCCTGATATTTTCAGGAGGAGCTGCATGTGTGAACACAAAGGGCTAGATGTTTCACTCGGACTTTATCTGGAGTTTCTCTTGCCAGCTCTCTAGTATTTTTCCGCGTGAAGTCTGAGTGAGTTGATGTGAGAATGCAGCAGGATGTAATCCGGAGAATTCCCCTCGAGCCACTGGGAGGGGGTGGTGACATTTATATCTTGTGACCAGTGCATGGTGCATAGGAGCAGCCCTCCTGAAATGATCTAGATATTTGCAGTAGTGGCTATGCGAAAACGACCGTGCCCCACAATTCTGCCTTCATAGATTATGCATTGCAGATGAGGTATAACATGGGTGTGAATATACCTCCTTGAACTGGCTCACCGTAAAGGGATATAGACTGTTTCATAATTATATTACATGGAACTGTAGAGGTTAAAACATATATATACATAATACAGTAACTTAAATTACCTTTGCTGTATGAAGCAAGCAAAATGTCAAAGACTAATCACCTACTTTTTAAAAATGATTAATCCAGCATCAATTTGTAAATGTTTTTGCAGAAAAGCCTGTTGTCTACCCTGGGATTGCCATTTTCTTCCAAAATGCATTCATTTTCTTTGGGTGAGTTAATGTCACTAAGCAATACATAACTTTAAACATATTAATGCACTTGAGCACAAGTATTGTGTCAACATATTTTCTAAGACTTTTTTCCTGCCTCTGAACAGGGGTTTGGTCTTCAAGTTTGGACGCACAGAGGATCTCTGGCAGTAACTGATTCAGCGTGTCTTCATGTCTACAGTTTAAAGACTCTGCTTTCTGCATTGCATTAGAAAACATGCTTTAGTGGTTATTATCTTTATATAAACTTTTTTAGCTTCAAAATTATCTTTTTTTTATTTATATTATTTGCATTAAAATAGCTAAATCATAATAAACATAGATTTGAGTAATTTCTTTGGAAGTATGATCTTTTCAAGTGTGGCACATCTCTAAATGTATCTTTTTGCACTCAGATTGTGTGGCCATGATTCTATAAGTTTTTACAACTTGTGTAAAAAAAAGTTGGGGTTTTTTTGTGAGCTTGACTGCCCTGAACTGTCCACATTTCCTTTGGGGATACTTTACTTCTATGACAGCCTTTAATCCAAAACGGTCTCTTGTGGAGAAAATAAAAATAAATTTAAAGGCATATCATTTAAGGCAATATTTTGTTTAACTGTACCTTAAAATTGATAAAAAAAATAGGTTATTGTTTGTATTTTACCTGAAATAACAACAGTTACGCTCCAAAACTTGGCAGTCACTCAGATTTTTTTTGTTGAATAATAAGAAGCTTGAACTGCTGTCAACAAAGGTTTTCAGTCTTTTTCAGATCTATATATTTAGAAATGATCTGTTTTCTTAAATCAGTAAAATTAAAACCATCAGATCAGTTCCTATTAACAATGTCAGCATTAAACCTAAAGAAAAAAAGCCGTAAATAAGTCTTAAAGTTATGCTTCCAAGGTTCATCCTTGCCATTTTATGTATCTTTGCACACATAAAACATGTATTTTCCAAAAAAGAATGCAAATGTTTTAGTTTGAATACACTGTTATGAAAGCACACCAAAGAGAGTTTTTACTCTGAAGATCAAGCTCCATCAACTTCCTTCTCCACATTTCACTTTTGCACTGCAAGATGGGGAAACTGTAAAACAATAAAATATTGTGTTCATTATTGCATTGAGTTAACCTTTTTATGGTTTTTCACACAACACACAATATTTATAAATGAATTGAAATTTAGAATTATTGTGGATGACTTTTATCATCTTAAGCTTGATATTAGTTAGCCTGTCAGAAGATTATGTCTTAATACCGTACCTCCCAAAAAGCCTGATCATCAAAACATTTCTTGTCCTGGGGTGGTCTCCAGAAGTTCAACTTCAGTAAACACCCTTGAAACAATACGTTTTAAATTCATGAAGGAAAATTTCAAGTGGCAAGCATACAATATTGACAAAAACCTTGGGCTGTGGATTGTTGATGACATTCTGTTACTACAAAACCCCTGAAATGGATCCTTTGTCCTCTTGGTATGACTCGTTTGTCCTGTTGGTATATGAAAACCTTACTAAAGAAGCCCTACCTGTAATGATTCCCATGGACAGACTCAGAGTGATGGTGATGAAAAGTGTACAAATGTGAACAACAGCAAACCGGATTCCCCTGCCAGATAAAAGACCGTTTACAAAGGGTACATTACATTTCAAATGTGATTTCATGTAAATGCATATTCCATAATAGTTGCATTCTTACATGGTGTGATCATCACAGTCTTTAAGCTGAAGGACAAGATGTGCCAGCCACCCAAGTAGACCAGGGAGCCCGTGTGTGCTCAGCATAGCACAGGTGTCATGGCACTGAAATGCAAGAAGCATGTGGATCTGGAAAACAACAGCTCATGAGTATTTTTACAATGTCGAGATTATTTATCACAATATGTACGACTACATGTGATGATAAAAACCTTGAGATATCTGTATCCAATGGTTGAGACAATTGCTGCAATGAATCCGATTGACATGGCTTCCCATGGCTGATGAACCACTGACATGGAAACCCCAATAGCAACACCACCAGCAAGGATGCATGACTGCATGTGGTTCTGTCAAAGGAATGCAGGAATATAAACCAGATCTCACTCGCATACAAACAAATAATTGACTCCTAAGGTCATTACAAGTGTGAGGCCTTTCAGTCCAGCTGAAAATGAGTGCTCATGAGAGAGCACATTGTGGAGTAAAAAATATCAAGTGTCAGATTATACCAGGTTGAGTTTTCCCTTGGGACTGGAGAGGACAGAAACAGCAGCTGCTGTTACAGCACTGACAGCCAGAGCAAGGTAGGTGCTGCACACGACCCCCAACTTCCTCCCAGAAGGAGCATCACCCACAAGTACTGAATTAAAACTTGGCCAGAACATCCATAGGAACACAGTCCCTAAAGAATAGAGAAGATGGGATAACAAATGGCTCAAACTTCTGTCTCAAGTTGAAGTAGAGCATTTCCAGTTGCTGCAACATCCTTAGAACCCTATCTCGCAGGAAAACGTACCCAGCATGGAGAATAATCCTGATTTGTGATCAGATTTCTCTTTTTCAAATGGTAGCTCAGATCCTTTCCGATACAGCATCCAAGTCAGCATGAGTCCAAAAAAGGCCCCAAAGATGTGAAGCTGCATGATGCTGTTCAAAGGTTGGACCTTGAGTAAGAAAACAAGAAATGTACCAATATACCAATTTACAAGAAAGAGAGGATAAAGTAAGCGCATAGCATACATGATATTATGATATGAAAATAATTTGCTCACAAATGGTTCTGACAGTAACTGACCTTTAACAGAGTCTGGAGGAACCACTTATTCAGAACAAATCCAGATACCTCAAGCAGGGCAATAAAGACGAGGTGCACAGGGTTAGTCTTCCCCAGCACGGCTCCAATTGAAATGAGGGCAGATACGGTGCACATCTCAGCAACAACTAAGCTGTTGTAAAATATTGTAACATTGGAATAAGTTGAACTTTCAACATGTACATCAGGTAGTCTGTGTTGGGTTACATTTTCATGCTTTTGTTGATATTCGTCATTTCCATTTTGCAAGAGGACATGTGCATTCAGAAGAGATCATTTGCAAATGAGATTTAGCAAGTTGAAGGGTAGTAAAATAATATAAATGAATACCCCACCTTCTCAAATTGATACTGATCTTTCCTCTGTAATACCAGGACTCAATTCCATTGAGTATGATAGCCAGCTGAGTTGCCATGACAGACACAAGAACGTTGAATCCACAGCCACTGAAACCATAACGCACTAGAAAAGTGCTTAAGAATCCAAAACCTAGAAACACTATAACATTTACATCCTGGAAGTCTGAAAGAGAGAAAAATTGTTTTCTTTAAAATCGCATTGCTCTGTTAGATTCAGCCAACTGTTCTAGAGACAACCCAGCCAGTCATTTGCGCCAACTGTGTGAGCTTATCAACACACAGCAGCAATAACGTTCTCCCCCTTCCCCTCATTCAAGTTTGTAAAAAAAAAAAAATGTAGTCTATAGGCTATGTAATGTATAATTAGTCATGTTTTTTTTTCCCCAAATGAAACATGATAATTCTAATATTTTTTTTACAGCCATTACCCATACACCCCCCCCCCCCCTTTCCAAACTCAAACTTACTTGGGTAAAAGTTTCTGAACGTTATTCCGTCAACACTCACATTGCTCTCTACCTCAGTGCAAAAGCCATATATGAAAATAAACCCCATCTGCAAAAAAAGCAACAAAGGTGCCAGACGGGAGCGAAGACTTGGTGCGTACCAGGGAGCCATTGTAGACGCACCCAGCACAGTGTTCTTCAAACTGACGCATGTTTTGGTCCCCCTGGCGCTTTTAACAGGGCATGACCCCATAGCAGTCTTATCTCAAATCTATCAGCTCCTACAGGACAAGATCGCGGCGGTCATGAGTAGCCTAAATATGGATTTTGATGGTTAAAAAAGGCTGTATTCATTTGGACTTAAAAGCAATTCCTGAGTAGTTTAAATGAAGAAAGAGAGATTGAAATATGCTTATTCATACATAACCTAATTGAAAAATGCACATTTAAGAATAATCAATATCTCTCTTTTTAAAGAGAACTACAGAACAAGCAGCTTTATGAGCCGCAGGTTACCATAGTGAGCAAAGTTACGACTATTAGAATTAAGTGACCTATTTCACCTTAACATGTGTGTCATACTTTACAGACTGAAGATTATACTTTGGTTTCTTACACTGCTTTGCATTTCTGCCACCAAATGATTAGGGTCATATGTTATTACCATAGACCTACATGTTTAAATCTGTCATTTTACCTTGATCCCGTCACTATGTTGCCCACACAGCCCACACTGTTTTTGTTGCCTAGATTAGGCACACATAAATGAGGAAATTAATCTGTCATGAACCACTCAAAATGTATAAACATTGTATGTCGAAATGGATGTTTTGTAGCAGGCACTAATTTTGAATTGGCCCGAAGACTTCATATTTCCTCATAACAAACCAAATACAAAACCGACAAAGAAAAACACACCCGCCTTCGTAAGCAGTTGATTGGTCAATCAGCGATGCCCGATTTGTCCAGAGAGATCTGATTGGTTAAACGTCGAGATGTCACACACAGAGAGAGATCTGATTGGTTAAACGTCGAGATGTCACACACACAGCTCTCCTGTCACCCTGTTGTCTTTGGTTGAGGGAAACTGAGTAGCAGACCACGGTGCAACATAAATGGTCCATCTCTACATCCGTCAATGAGAGAGGCCTCGACGGAACTCCTGATTGGACATATGAGCTGTCCAACAAGTGGAGGTGACGAGACAGCGAGGTTTGTCCTTAATGAGTCTGCGCTGACAGAAAAGGAGGAGGTTCCCGAATAGACTCCTTTATTTATTTCTTTGTTTCCAGTGGGGGGAAAAATAATAACAGCAGCATATACCAGTCACTTCATTCATTATCCGTGTCCGTATATACAATAAAACTGGATAAGATTACAGTGGTTACTCGACGGCCAAAGCCAAGAGGAGGAGGATGAAGCGGCGCAATGCGGACTGCAGCAAACTCCGACGGCCGTTAAAACGGAACCGAATCACTGAGGGTATTTACGGCAGGTGAGTGACACCGTCATGGAGGTACTGAACGGAGACCCGTGTGGCTTTGTTAGCCGCGTAAAGTTAAACTCCCGTGTGTTATCAAGCTGGCGCAATAACCTAGCGCGTCGCTGATGATCGCTGTCGGTGTGTTTTCATTGTAGCCTCATTAGCGAGCTGGTGTTAGATGTTAAGCTAGCTGTAGCGCTAGGCCCCAACACAGCCTGAGTATAACTAAACAACAGCGTCCTTTTTCAAAGCAGCGACACAGCTTGGAATACGTGTTAGGGATTTTTGAAGACTTTATAAACAACCACGACTATCTACACTTTACACACTTTAGTTGTCATGTACTGGCTGCGTCAAAAATTATCCGCTTCAGTGTTAGCCAGCTGAGGTAACTTGTGTAAGCTGAGTTACAGCCGCGTTAAAAAAAACATTACGTCTTAACATGCGCCGGATACATTATACATTAGTGAGTTCATGTCAACAACACTACTGCAGTCTTTTTTAGACTGTGTTCAGAAGAGCTTGTGTTGTACTTTTAAGTTATGTTATAAACTGGGTAGCTTACAGCATTAGCCCAGCTGTCCCAGCCCACCCACGTCTGACTATATCTGATGAACAGAACCTTAAAGGGAACCAGTAACACACGTGTCCACTGGACCTGAGAATGAGGGGCAGATCCTGAATTATTGAATAGGAGCTATCCCGATCCCAACATAAAGTAGCCAATATTGTAGATGAAGGAAACCCCAACATTGACTGAACAAACAGAAATTGTGGGTCTTATTTCACTCTGAACCAAAGAGCAATAAAACAGTCCCTTCTGGGTATGTGCGATATCACAACCCTTGATAGATTTAAAAAAAAGGTATATGTTCTCCAAATGTTCAAAACGACACCATACAAACAAATCAAAGTTCAGAATTCTATCTTACATATTTATGTACCATTTGTGTAGATTTAACAATTTGCTAATAACACCAAGTTGTTTAAAAAATTGTGATTCACGACTTTTGTTTTCTAGACATCTTACGGCATCTTTTCAAAATGTTTTTCTTTAGTACCTTCCTGTACCTGAAGTTCTTGGTGGTGTGGGCGCTGGTGCTTCTGGCAGATTTTGTGCTGGAGTTCAGGTTTGAGTACCTCTGGCCATTCTGGCTTTTCATCCGGAGTGTGTACGACTCCTTTAGATACCAGGGGCTGGTAAGTGGCAATGTCCTAATACTAATTATGCTGCGGTCAGGGTAAAGAATCAGCTGCGTATTAGACAATGCTATCTTTCAGTTTTTTTCCAGTTCAAAAATCAACCCTTTAGATTTGGCACTAAAATAAGGAAGTACAGATATTCACTTTTATCATTGATTCAGTATAGGGATTATGAACTACATCCAGTTGAGATGTAGAGATTTCAAGGTCTTCATGGCTATAACTATGCTGCCATAGTAACAGGGTTTTGAGGTAACATTACCTGTTCAAGCAGAGAGAGATTTATTTTGGTCATCAGTTCACATAGTGGTGAAACTTCATTTCCTTTTCATTTGATTTTTTTTACCTGAAACCCAAATAAAACAGAAACATAAATATACCACAAGCCATAATGCAAAATCTTAATTGTAATTTTTGAAATATGGATAAAAGCATATCTCTTTTTCTCTTGTTCTTTTATTTTGTCTTCGGCCATTATTGATACAAGACAGATTTTTAATAAAATGCATTGTTTAGGTATGTTTGTTGGTGTGTCTGAGTCTCCCAAAGATGAATAAAGATAAAGAAATGCCATAAAAATTTATTTATCTATTTACAAAATAACAAATATTTAAACAAAGATGAAAGATGAACAGTGCAGGAAAAGCTAGAAAACTCAAAGAGCTTATTTGAATTCTTCACTTAAATTTGTCATATCGTCAAATTGAAAACCCCAGAATTGTCATACAATTCTACAGAAAGCCAAAAGCAGAAATGAGGTTTCTGAAAACCTGGTATATTTATTCAATATTAATATTATTCTATTTTTTATTAATGGTTTAATTTTTATAATTGATTTTGTTTGATAACACAGATCAGTCTTGGGATGGAGATGAAAAGCCTGTTCTATTAAGGACCAGATTCCAAACAATAACATAAGAGCTTATAGACTCTGCTATTGAGTAATTTTTTATCTCGAGTTGAGTCACATCATTTAAACCAAAGCACTGGTGCACAAACATGCATCGATTGTCTTATTAAGTGAATTATGGTTAAAGTATGACGTGATCAAGGTCAGTATAGTAAAGTGACTTTTATGCAAAGGTAAATACAACATCATTACGTGTTCAAATATAATGTCAATAAAAAGAAAATATAGTTTTTAGTGAGAAACTTAAATACAGTTGTTCAGAGGAGAATTAAGTTTTGTTTTCGCAGCGATATTAAATGGATAATAGAGATGGAACCACTTGTAAGTTTCAAACATGAGATATAAGTTTATAATACATCTTTATAAATAAGTGATGTTAAGCAATAAATCAATACCATGTACAAATTAACAATCCCCATCCCTAATCAGATTACTCAATTTAAATAAATTCAGATTTGGTAGTTTACATCTATGTGAACTGGCATCCAAGGTCTTAATGCTGTTTTTTTACTCTCTCACTCTAAAACGTTTTGTGTTTGATACATTTGCCTTTATTTCACATGTAGCTGGTTTATTGTAACATCTTGTCCTCTCCCCAACAGGCCTTCTCAGTATTCTTTGTGTGTGTTGCGTTTACCTCGGACATCATTTGCCTCCTCTTCATCCCAGTGCAATGGCTTTTCTTCGCTGCCAGTACCTATGTGTGGGTGCAGTATGTTTGGCACACAGGTAATATCCCAAGTGTATAAGTATCTTAATAATCTTTTCTATAAACTATACTTGATTTGAGAAACATCCATATGCCAAGTATTGACTTGGCTGATGTTTATGCAAAAGGCTCAGTAGATAAAAGACAAAACACCTTATGTCTACCCACTTTAAAACTAAAACCTATCTGTTTAACAAACCAGGAAGGAAGTAAGGAAGCTTTCTTTATATTTCAGCATGAAATATTCAGATAAGTAATTATTTTAAGTCAGACCACTGTAATTCCTAGAGATTCTTAGAATTCTAGCAAGTATCTTTTGTTGTTCTTTTTTTTTTTGTGCTTTGAGCCTTTATGAAAAGGTCAGTGCAGTAGCCATGCACATTGTATTATCTAAGTAACAAATAGTTAGCTTGCTTTTTAGAATTTGGCATGATGTTTGTAATTGAACTGCGTTCAGCGGATTAGTTGTCTGTCTGATTTAGCGGTATCCCCCTGTGTTGACCATAGGCCAGGTGTCGGATTGAAATCCTAGTCTGTTGGGGGAGGGAGTAACACATAGTGGCCCCAGTTTGCTTCTGAGCCTTCTAACGTCACTTGCCATCAACATTCACATCCATGGGATGTCAGAGGAGTATAAATATCTCTGTTCACTCCACAGCATGGTGGTGAGAGTGCCTTGAGTTTATTTCAGCTGAAGAGACAATGAGTAATGTCTTTATTCTGACCAATGAACATGTGTTTGGTGATAGGACTGTGTCAACAGATACATTTAATGAGTGTATTTAAGACTTTTTAAGAAGGATATTCTTCCTGTCCAATCAGTTTGTGAAAGGTTTGAGGTTGTGTTTCTGTGTGTTTATAAGAAATAAAACTAAGACCAGGCACATTATTGAAGCACCACCTCCAAGTACTCATTGCTATTGGCGCAGTTAAGGTTTCACACAGTTCTGATGTTCATGGCATGGCCCATTAATGATATCTTTGTCCTGTCCTTTTTTTCCAGAGAGAGGAGTTTGTCTGCCCACCGTGTCTCTATGGATACTGTTTGTGTACATAGAGGCTGCAATCAGATTCAAAGACCTGAAGAACTTCCATGTGGACCTGTGCCGTCCCTTTGCTGCGCACTGGTAGGCCAAAGATTTGACAGACCCACTTTGAGAAGGTCTAAACCACACAGTTGTTATATTAATAACAAGGACATTATTAAATCCACCACAAGCAAGCACTTGCCAACAGTGGAAAGGAAATCCCTTTCAATTAGCAGACACTATTTGGCCAATCAGATGAACCTCCAGTTGGTCATAAATTACATTTAGCTAAATTGGTGTCAACTTGGAAGTGACTGTGTGGTTAGCTTGCATGTTGGCTGAGGAAAGATAGTGGAAAATGTAATAGGCAGTTGGAGGAAAGGAAATAGCAACAGCTCTCCTATTTGGAATAATTTTGGATGAAACACAGGTAGTGTATAAAAATGGTAGAACAGCCACAAGACATAGAAACAAAGGCAAGTTATAGCTAAAATGCCATTTGAAATTCATGCCTTTAAATATGTCATCCTGGCATCGCAATATTTTCATTTTTTTCTTTGTGTATTATGTGTAAATTGTATTATACATTAAGGGATTATGAAATACTTCTGATACAATTTGATGTAATGACAGAATTTTGACATATGACTTCACATCTTGTATTCATCCCTGTAGCATTGGCTATCCAGTGGTTACTCTCGGCTTTGGCTTCAAGAGCTATGTAAGCTATAAGATGCGCCTTCGGAAGCAAAAGGAAGTTCAGAAGGAGAACGAGTTTTACATGCAGCTTCTGCAACAGGCTCTGCCACCGGAGCAACAAATGCTTCAGAGGCAAGAGCGAGAAGCGGAAGAAGGTAAGAGTCAAACACACATTACATACATGCATACATTATATACATGCATATGCACATACATACATTCAAGTTCAGAAAACTTGACAGTCTGATATACTCATTATCAGGACTGAAAACGATTTCCCTAAGTCATAATCGTAATAAGAGCTTGATCAGAATGAAAAGGCTTCTTGTAAAAACGTCATACAGAAGAGACTGATCCAATCAGGTTCATTTTAAGAGAAATTTCATTCCAGACAAGAGGGGTGGTTTATGCTGTTATTAAGAAAGTTGGAAAACCAACTTCAGTCAGTTATGACCTATAAGTAGTGGCTATCCATGTATACACTTGATCCGATCGTGCCTTCTTGTTTGGGTTGAAATTGTTCTGACTGCGCATGTCTGCCAAACTCTTCAACTTCCCAAGTCTGAAAGTTCTGCAGACTCGCCACTTGTTTACGATTGCAGGACAAATATGTGCTGCTGAGCTTGCGGCTTAATTCAAAAGAGAAGAAGAAAAAGGTTAATAAAATGCAGATATCCCAAGTCACTGACGTGAGAGAGGAGGATGAGATCTCTGTTGCTCAGCGAGAGGGAGAGTGGAAGAGCAACATCTGGAATCGTGCAGTGACAGTGATGTTTGTTTCAACACAGGCTAATTATATCTGCACGCGACTGGCATGTTTACCAGAAACTTGGCCAAAAGTAATAATAATAATTCACCATTATAATAATAATGGTGGAATTAGGGCTGGGTATCGAATTCGATACTTTTTTTGGCAAGGATCGAATAGCTTAAAGACTACAGAGTATCCAAAAATGGCTTTTCATTCAATACCAAATTTCGATACCTGTCATACCTACCATCAGCGTCAGTGTGCCAATAAGCATGCAGCATGCTTGTTGTACCAGGCTCTAATAATGCTGGTGATTGGCTGCTTAACCAGATGGGGCAAACGTGTCTGTTGTTGTGTTTTGAGAGGCTTGACTACAGTGTGCATCGTGAAGTTTAGAAAAATGTCAACGAGATCAAAACAGACAGTGTGACATTAACAATTGCGTGAGATCAATTGCAACAGACAACTTTAGTTAAACCACATTAGGGTAAAATGGTTTATATTCTCATGTTATGAAACTGCTTTGAATGTTTTAAAATGCCATGGAAAATAAAACTAAAGATTTTAATCATAATGTGTAAGGTAATTTTTTTTTTGTTAAAATGGATTTGACAAAATTGGTATCGAAAAAAGTATCGTTTAGGAATCGGTATTGAAGTCAAGGTATTGGTTTCGAAAATTTTGAACGATACCCAGCCCTAGGTGGAATAAACACACAACAGAGCTTGACTTGTGCTTTAAATTGATCTCACGCCCATTTACGTTCCATCAATCAAGATGCATCAATATCTCACAAGTTAAAGCACTTTTTTCATGTATGTTACCAAGAAGGAAAGCTTCTTTTGCTGCTATTTCAGGCAGATAAGAACAGTAGGATATATCTGCGCATGCCAGAATGTTTTTTTTTTTCTGATTGAATGATTGATGCAAGTACACACACATCCTAATCGGATTATTTTATTTGTTGTTCATGTAAACAAACAAGTTTGAATGACTTTAATCGGATTGAAGACATTTTTCAGATGAAAACATTACTGGTGATCGTGAGGTAATTTGGTCTGTGTGGCACTGCTCCAGTAATTAAAGTGTTGAGATTGGTGCTTCGCTGAAAAAAACAACAACTCTCACGGTAAATGTAGACCTGATACATAAAGATGGGTATGTTTTTGTAGTTTGACTTTTTTTCTGTAAAGTTTGTTCAAATTCAAACCATCTGAGGATTATGTTAGATCTTTCTAGACTAATAGGTTGGCAATAGAGTTTTGTCCTGTTCATTTAATTTTAATTGAATAGGCTTTTCTCTAGTCATTGTTGTTTTATCATGAATCTTTTAATCAAGCTCAAACAAGCAAATCTGATGTACATCGGCAGGGTGTGAAGCATTTTCTTCTCTACTAGATGTCTGTGGTGGCAGCTATACATGTCTTTCATAACTCAGGTGAATCCTATGTCAGTTCTCACATTGCTACACAAGTCATTCTTCAGAAATGGAAAATTAAGTTTTGGTAAAGAGACAATAGAAAGCTTAAGTTAATGTTGGTATATAAATTGCATATTTATCCCATACCCCTCCCTCTTATACACACAGCAGCAGCAGCAGCAGCAGCAGCAGCTAAAGGAATATCTGAAGTGGACACACCGCCAGTATCTCAGAATGGTGCCCCAGCCAATAAAAAGACATCGGCACCAATGCCGGAGTTAGAGTATAGAGAAAAAGGGAAAGAGGGAAGGGGTGGTGGCGATGCTAAAAAGCAGCACAACAACATCCTACCATCATCAGTGGACTCTAAACTCCAGGAGATGGAGTATATGGAGAACCATATGAACAACAAGAGACTGACCACAGAGCTGGGCAGCACAGAGAACCTGTTGCTTAAAGAGGACAACAATTCTTCTTGCTCATCCTCCTCATCCTCCTCCTCCAAAAACTACAAAAATGCTAGCAGCAATTCTGCAACGCTCAACTCCTCACCCCGTGGCCATAGTGCCACCAACGGCAGCGTGCCCTCCTCTGCATCATCAGCTTCCTCTTCCATGGGGAAGAATGAGAAGAAGCACAAGTTAGCAGTGGGGAAGGGAAATTCAGGTGGCTCCCACAGGGATCCCACGGACAACTGTATCCCCAACAACCAGCTGAGTAAGCCAGAAGCACTTGTTAGGTAAGAAACGTGTTCAGACACAGACTTTTTCATGAATACATAACTGTACCCTGATCTGCTATACTATTACTAACCACACTACCAGGATTATAATGAAATGAACTATTACTTATGCTGTATATGCTACCTTTTGTATAGACATGTAGATATACAGTTTGTAAAACGTTACAACTGGAGCATCTATACCAAACTGTTTGTCAAAATATCTGAAGTACTTTGAAACCTAATAATCCTCAAGCAGAACCATACTCATTGGTGAACAGTTATGAGATGGATAGAGACGAGCAAAAAACAGACAGATGTACAAACAGCAGCAACAATAAAAAAAAAAAGTGAATAGGACCTATTGTAGCAATGGCAACAACAACAGTATAAAATGACTTACTTGTTATGTAGCATATTAAACATACTGGTGAGTATGACTGAGTATAATCCTTAAATTGGGTCTGCTTAAGCAGGCCATTCACAACAGTACTCTACAGCAACCAAGACCAGAGTTGACTTGAGCCATGTAGAAAAAAATAACTTGCATTCTTGCAAACAGTTTTTCCGCAGTGTTTACATTTGACTTCTTTTGGTTCGGTGTCATCTTCCCTAAAGACAAAATGTGTCCAAACGGCCGACATAATTTTCGATCATTGCCCAGCCCTAGTCGAGGTTTCGATCCCCAGTTCCTGCAGCTACATGTCCGATGTGTCTTTGGGCAAGACACTTAACCCCAAATTGCTCCTGCTGCTTCGTCAGTGGCTTATGACAGTGAATGAATGGGATTAGTTATTTCTAATGGTCTCACTACATAGCAACCACTGCCATCATTGTGTGGATGGGTAGGTGTGACATGCAGTGCAGAAGCGCTGTGAGTTGTCAGAAGACTAGGAAAGCACTTTACAAGCTCAAGTCCATTTACCATTTAGATTGATTCTGATACTGATATTAAGACCCAGTTTATAATACTAATAAATAATAAAAGCACTATATAAACTCAAGTCTATTTACAAGTTAGCCATACTTCTCAATGTATCTTTTTTCCTGTATAACACCACTGTGCACACTGAAATATAACCTGCCTCACGGCTGACTAAGGTTGACGTTCTTAAATATTTGTTGCGCTACAAAGTACTATGGTATTTCATACATGTATCCGGTTAACATTTTTCCTTCCATTTTTTTGCTGCTTCACTGTATTATCAACTGAAACTCTGTAGCAGGCTGCTCTTTATTTTAAAGGGGTCATATTATGCTTTTTCTGGTTTTATATGCTTTAGTGTGTTTTCCAAGTGTCCTGTGCATGTTTAGGCACATCTATGTGCAAAAATTCAAAGTCCGCGGAAACGCGGCTTCTCCTACGTCCTCCTGTTAGCTGTAGCATTAGCTGCATGTAACGCTCAGTTCTAGCCCCCCTCGAAAAAATTTTGCCGGTGTGACGTCTTGTCAGTGTGATATCACTGATCTAAGCCCATTGGCTCGTTTTGGCAAGCCCTGCAGCTCATGTTGCACGCCCATTAACTTCTGTAGCACGCCCACGATATGCTGTAGCCTGCAGTTGCACAGTAGTGCTAAGGTGCTAATGTTTTTGCTCCCTTCAGAGCCAAAGTGGCTGCATTCCCAATATGGTAAAAGGGGCGTGACATTTCCGAGAACCGTGCTGAGCGACTGACCAATTACGGCAGAGCCGACAGGCCAACCAATCAGTTCAGACTTGGCACACGTGTGGGCTCTGAACGTGGGCACTTCAGAGCCTTAGAGAGAGAGTCAGAAGCGAGCCGGTGCATGGAGCGGCAGTTCATGAAAACAGACACTTTTTTCAAACTTTAGCTATTGTGAACATATTTTAGAAGGTACATAAATTAAATAAACGAACCCCAAAAAAGGGCATAATATGACCTCTTTAAAGTGTTTTGATGCATCAATCACAAGACTATGTAGTTATTGTGTTTTTAAAGTAAATCACTTATATTTCACAGCTGGTTAAAGCTCCTTGAAAATCGGCTCTTACTCTGATGAGCTTTCGTCACCATCAGTTGTGAAACCAAATATTGCAAGCAGGTGGTCGTTTTGATAATGGGATTTTTATTGGACCAAGGTTGTCATTAAATTCATTATGCTTGTGTTATGTTGACCTAAATGCAGATGAAGATTTTAAGGCAGTCTTTGGTGTGAAGGTATGTTCAGGCTAGAAGTAATTAAAATTTTGTTTTTACTTGATTTAATTGGTTTAATCAGTGTAGACCATCATAAAAGTATACCTCTTTCCTTAACATAAAAATGAAGTGATACTGTGGTATAACATTGAGTTTGAGGATTGAATTTCAATGCACTTAAGACTTAAGTTTAATGTCATAGCAACATTTTCATGTCCCACGTCTGTTCACTTTCCTTAATGGGACAGATTGGAGCAGGATGTTAAGAAGTTAAAGGCAGACCTCCAGGCCAGCCGGCAGGTTGAGCAGGATCTGCGCAGCCAGATTGGCTCACTGGGCAGCGCTGAGCGCTCCATACGCACTGAACTGGGCCAACTGCGCCAAGAGAACGAGCTGCTTCAAAACAAGTGAGTGGGGATACCTTTCAGTAGATCATAGCAGGGTGAAGGTCACACTAAATATTGAAGTGAATACCTATTAAATCATCACATTAACTTCCATTGCAAAAAGGCGTTCATTTCCAAGCTAATTCCTGTTTGGGTAATGTTTGCAAGAGAAGTCACTACAAGATAAACCAACAAAAATGTGACAACTCAAAAACTGAACAACTGGATGTACTACTTCTACTACTAATTCTGTATATTTGAAATTTGCTGTTAGTGCTAAGATATGTTCACCTGTGCACTTTTAGGCTCCATAATGCTGTGCAGGCAAAGCAAAAGGACAAACAGGCAGTGGGCCAATTGGAGAAGAGGCTCAAAGCAGAACAGGAGGCTCGAGCCAGCGCAGAGAAACAGCTTGCTGAGGAAAAGAAGCGAAAGAAGTTAGAGGAGGCCACAGCAGCAAGAGCAGTGGCACTAGCAGCAGCATCCAGGTACATCATTTGAAATTCAGCTTTTGATAAACTTTTTACTCATTTTACTTACTTGTACCCCACAAGTAATGATGTGTTTTAAGCACTGATATAAATGATCTGCTGTCTTTTCCCTCTATGTTTTCAGAGGGGAGTGTACAGACACGTTGCGGCGGCGAATCACTGAATTAGAAACAGAGTGTAAAAAACTAACGATGGACATCAAGCAAAAGGAAGACATGATCAGAGAGCTTGAATTGAAAGTTCAGGTAAGTTTTTGGGCAATTTGTGATTAAAAAAATATTGTTTGTCAAGGTTAGAAAAAAATAGTAAATAATTGAATATTATTGAATGCTAATTTATCCCTTTATCATCATGTCATATTTAAGAACATTTGCCCAGTACAGTAGTGGAGTAACAGGCTGTGATTGCACTATCACAGTTTACTAAGGAGCTTTTTGTTTCTGCATAGCAATGCAGGAATATTTTGGATTGTCTATAACGAAAGCCTTTAGCGGCATTGTCCCAAGTCAATTAAAAACAATGTAAAGTATGTACATATCAACGTGTTCATGGCAGCATGAAGATATTTTCCCCACCTCCTTATATCTCACAGTGCATCTGACTGCTGAAAAAAAATGCTGAGTAGTAGAATTGTTACATCTCAAGTCAATTAGCCATTGATGAAATCTGAACAATATTGAGCCTTAGATTTCATGAAATGCAGATTACATAGACTTTGTATGAGAAGACACTTGATTTTATTTTAATTTCTTGTCGTCAAAGCTATTTCTAGAGATTTTTTTAACAGCACCTTACTGCTAAGAATTTGTTTTTTTGTATAGGTCTTTTGAAAAAAGCAATTTACATCCCGCTCAATCCAACCATTAGCCCCCTGACTTGACCAACACTTTGTCTCTTCTCTATCATATATCAGGAACTTCATAAATATAAGGAGAACGAAAAAGACACAGAGGTACTGATGTCAGCGCTGTCAGCCATGCAGGATAAGACACAGCACCTGGAGAACAGCCTCAGTGCAGAGACCAGGATCAAACTGGACCTTTTCTCTGCACTAGGAGATGCCAAACGACAGCTTGAGATTGCACAAGGTGAGCAAGAATAACAGTAAAACACATTTATTTACACATTATACTTACTATACTATAAAGGACAAACACACCTACAAAATGTCTGACCATATCTCCCAAGGTTTACTTTTACTTTGAACTGACCTTTTGGATGTCGGTTTTCAGGTCAGATCCTGCAAAAGGACCAGGAGATAAAAGATCTGAAGCAGAAGATAGCCGAAGTGATGGCCGTTATGCCTAGCATCTCCTACACAGCTGACACCAGCAGCATGCCCCCTGTTGCCCCCCACTACTCCTCCAAGTTCATGGACACCAATCCCTCTGGCCTAGACCCCAATGCCTCTGTTTACCAGCCACTCAAAAAGTGAACGTTCTGTCCTGCCCCATGCTTTCTCCATCTTGTCATTTTATGTCCCCTGCAGACCCACCATCTTCCATTCTGCTCAGCATGTCTGCAGCTGAGAACATTGTTTTTCTTGGGTTTTATTATTTTCCCACGCCAGGTCAGAAGGATGTTGTATTGTGTGACTGTATTTGTTGTAGTTAAAACAAAAGACAAAAAAAAACTTAAAAAGGAAATCACATTTCAATTAGGAAAGCCCCTTTTCTCAAGTTTTGTGAAACCTCACAGAATTGGGTATATATCTGCATCTCAAGGGTGTTGCTCTATCTTTCCACTAGTCCCACAACTGCAACAACCTGAAACCAATTACCCGCTCGTTTATCCTGGGGAAACTATTAATTTTAGGTTGTTTTTTTTCCCACCAAAAAATTACGAAACAATTTATCATACAGCCTTACTGTATCCCAATTTCTCCTAAGGTAAAATGGCAACAACTGAACAACCAGAGGAATGTAGTGCAAAGTCAGCACAGACTCCGACACAGATATATTTTATATTTTAAGACAAATGAATCCTTCTCTCAGATGCTTTGGTTAGTTTGAAAGGATCTTGTGTTGGAAGCAGAATAATAGGCCTCAAACTTAAATGAACCCAAGCAGCTCCTATTCTTGACCATTATTGGACACATGGTTTATCCATCTGTATTTTTTGAGTAAGAGAAGTCTGTATATTGTACCAGTTTCTGTGCGATTCTCGGCATCGTCTTTTATTAGTTGTCATAATCACAGTGCCTTGAGTTGAAGATATAGAGTGAGTTTGATAAAGAGATCCAGCTAGCCCAACCCTTCTGAATGAGTGGTAGACCTCATCCAGTACAGTGGGACAAAGTTGCCTTTGGATGCTGAAATGGTTTTTCACTCCCGTCTGTTAGGGAAACTGATCCATGGTGTCCACATGAGGGCAGCCTTGTCCCTTACGTAAAAACAAAAAAAAAAAAAAAAAAAGATACAGTATACGGCACCAGGTCCAAGACTTATCACCGTACTCGGATTTGCCTACTGTCAGTTTCTTGACATGATGTTAGCCACCACAGAGTCTACTACATTCAGGTCTCCGGCTCATCACATGTCCACTTGCAGTTAATCTCTTCTGTTGGTAAACCCCAAATCTGTAGATGTAGCTGCTGCCCTCACCTTTGTTTTTTGAATTTCAACTTAAAGTTGCACTATAGTAAAACAAGCTGTTTTAAAGGGAAACTGTATAGACTGTGCAATGTAAAAAGAAAAATTCTGAAATGCCAATTTTAATATAATTTTAATTAATCCTCAACTTCAGTTCATGTGCCAAGACTAAAATGCTTGTTTCTTTAGTAATGTTCTCGAGAATGTACTGCAAATACATTGGCCAACATGTTAGTTAAATATCCAGTTGAATATCACTTAGTGGAAGTTTCTGTTAAGCAGGTAGAGAACGTGGTCACCTGTTTGTAGTAGACTGTAGTTAAAAGTAAAGGACTAGAAAGTCAAATTTATTTTGTGAATGTTACAGTATTTACAACTGTTGGGCATGTGGCTGTTTAAAAGCAGTTTCTTAACTTCCTGTTTCTGGTATTATTTTCATGCTGGGATAAAATTGCTTGAGTCTGATATGGGTTCAGCATCATCAGAAATTGTCATTGTTATGCGTGTGGTTTTCACCCATTGTAAATGGAGAAGCTTTTGGCGCTCAGATAGCTGTCATTGGCTCCTGAAAAAAAAAAGTGAAATTACAGATTAGTCAGTTGTGTGGTCAACTGATTGTTGAAAGTATAGAAAAGTGTTTTGTTTGTTTTTTGTTTTCTATGCCCACAGTCACTGCTCTGTTTCTCCCCAGGTCTGACCTTGGCTGTGGTCTCGCTCTGTGAGGTTTACAAGGAATAAACATTTTTTCTTGCAGATTGACTTTCCTCCCTTTTTGCTGTTATTCCAACCATTTATCCAGATATTTTAAAAAAATCCACATGTTGATCATATTCACTTTCCAAACTTTGAGACATGATGTTCAGTAAACCTTGGAATGGGTGTCTAAGAAGGGGGAGCTATATTACCAAAGAGGCTTTGGAGCTGTATTAGGGCTAACATTGGAGCACCATTTGCAGTTTTTAACTAGTCATTAAAATGGCATCTCTGCCTCGGTTGCTAACATTTCTACAGATCTTTTATTACTTTTTCCTTTTGGGGAAATGTAAGATGTTAAACCATAGGGTACCTCAGAGCCAAGATTCACATGTTGCAAACAACAAAATGTCAGATCATCAGCTTCTTTATATTGTGCCATCATTTTCCCCAGGTGTTTCTTCATTTGATCAAGCCATTCTTTATTTTCTGAAATAGTATATTTCAAGTCAAACATTTTATTAAATATTTACTGGATTATAGTGTGAGTTGAATTTAGCTCAAATAAAGAACAGAAGAGGGAAGAAATTCTTAAACCGTTATCGGTAACAAGAATGTAAACCAAATGGTCGAATATTGCGTATTAGAAGCAAGCTAATGTTATTGGCACTAGGGGGCACTGTCTGTGAAAAAAAAAAAATCCATTTTTTAAAAGAGAAGAAAATTGTGCATGCAAAACACTGATCACAGCTATTTAAAGCATGGTTAACGATTGTGCTCACAAACAGCTATCCTGCAGCACTGTGTTGATAGTTAGATAAAGTTGGGACTTAAAAATTAATAAAATAATGAAAGGGGAAAATGGCTGTCATTGAATTTTAAACATCGTATAAAAGCACCATATCATACACTCCCCTCTTTCTCTACATGTCAGGTTCCAATGTGTACATAATCAGTGAGTTTCCGGACTCTGGATTTGAGAATTTGGTCATTAATGGGACATTAAAAAGAGCAAATTATGTGCTGCCTCACATCTTTATTTGGGTGATAATTCATTTATTTAGTCTAATAGGACTGCTTCAGATTGAGTAAGAGCTGTCGAGGACACTGAATTTCAATAGCCCTGTTCTTAGCATTCAATCGCTAAGGCCTCCCGAAATGTGCTTGATTAACCTGTTCAGCAAGAAAAATGTAGGTAAAGCTCCTGACTTACTTTTTCTAGCAAAAGTTGTTCCTGGGTTAAGCACAAATTTGTTTTATGATCAACCCACTGTATTTTATAGCTGTACTTTTTTCCATTTCTGCAACATATTGTTTGGCAGAGTTGCATCGAATTAACAGATTATAATGGGTCTTTTTCAGGCCATCTGCATTTGGCACAGCTGTAATCACCATGCCATCAAGCCACAAATTCTACAGCAAATCCATTTTTATGAAGGGAAGCTATAAATGAGAAATTCCAGGTACATCATTCTTGTTTTTCTTGACCTACTCAATTAACTTTAAGTACCTGTGCAATTTTCTTGGAGGACAAACACTTTCCTAAGCCCTTCCTGTGTACCCCTCCCTCTGGAAAGAAAGTAAGAAGAATAAATCAGTGTTCTCAGATGATCACTTGGAGATGTACTTTTTTTTTAACCTTTTTTATGGTTGGACTCGGTTTACTCATTTTGGTTTCTTTCTATTAATAAATTGTGTAATCCCATTTTTCATACTTACCCTCAGAGTAAAGAAAGATTTCAATTGAATATGGAGCAATCTGTGCAGGTGTATTTGGAAATCTAATCTTTACCCCAACAAAAAGTTGATGATTTTCCCCTTAAACCCCTCTGTAAACCATAATCTTGTTGAGACCTTAAAAGTCAAAATATGTTTCTTGCATCTTTTTTCAGCCTTTTAGTGAGGTGTAGTTGTAGATGAGCAATGGTTATTCAAAAGGAATACACTTGCCAGAGTACATAGAGAAGCATGGTTTTATTGCCACAGTGCACTCTTGAATCATAGTTAGGCTATTACATCTATTAAAGAAAAATCTGGCACAGCAACATTTGTAAAAGCTATTCTCCTGAGTGGGTATTTTTTAAAGCTCAGTGGAACTTACTGTAGGTTTTTGGCTTGAATGATTTAAACAGTTATAATATTTGACCTACCATACAGACTAGGAGTTTTTGCACCAACACCCAAATAGTTTTTTTTTTTTTTTTACTTTGGAGACTTTTTTCAAACAATAAAATGAATCATGGCGCCCAACACAAGAAACACAGTCATTCACATTGCATTATGAATCTGTATGTTATCAAAGAAAAAATTAATCAAACTATCTTTATTAACCCGAGTTATTATGTAACACGTTTTTGATCAAAACATCTCAAAAGATACTGAAGTTCAACCAAAGCGTGCATGAAAGAGTGTGTGTGTAGGTACATGTTTTTTTGCAAATCTCAAAAAACCTTAGTCTGTCCATGATGTTTCCTTACGCCATCTATAACTTTACTTTTTTGATAAGAACAGCAAGTCACGACAAATTGTCGTGAAAATAAAGTCACAACAATATAAGTAGGCTATATCAATCAATCATCAATCCATAAATCTTTATTTGTATAGCACCAATTCACAACAGCTGTTATCTCAAGACACTTTACATCCAAAATGTATGCAGTGTTTCCTCACCTATAGGTCGCATAAGGTAGTACAAGTACAATGTACAAAGTACAATGTTTAAATGTAAACATAAAATAAGCAAAGACTAATACATACAAGGCTAAAGGAATTGGTCTTAGCACCGAACCTTGTGGGAATCCATATCTAACTTTGGTGTGCATGAGGGTTTATCATTAACATGTAGGCTTAAAAACTGAGATCGATCTGATAAGTATGATTCAAACCAACTTAAAAAGGGGTTCCTGCATGCCAAGTATTTGTTCTAGTCAGTGTAATAGAATGTGCTGGTCAATCATGTCAAATCCAGCATGAAGATCTAACAAGACAAGCACAGAGAAGTCCACTGTCTGAGGCCAGAAGAATTAGATCTAACTTGAAACGTTTACCAGTCTCAGTGCTATGCCAAAAATCCTGACTGAAAAATCCTTGAATAAACTGTGGTTATGGAGAAAGTCACAAAACAATACTTTCTCAAGGATCTTTGCAATAAAGGAAATGTATGAGATACATGTCTATAGTTATATTGTCATTATAGCCCTGAATGTGAATTTCTAATAATTTCATTCACCAATATGTCAAAAGAATTTTACTTGACTAGCCAGAAGGGTTTTCTACTGAGCCCCTGAAGTCCCAAAAAGTTAAAGAAAAAAAATATATATTTTTTTGACTTTTTGGGACTTCAGGGGCTCAGTAGTTTTCTTTTCATCAGTTGAAAATAGAGCATCTTTATTACAGTCTTGGTCTGTCTAACTAGTCTGGATTTGCTTCTGCTGGAGACCCCTCATCTCTAGTTGTCCAACAAGTAGCTTTTAATTCTGAGCCATTATAACTATTATGAAGCCTTTGTTTCTGATCACAATGTTTCTTTCCTGCAGCTTTCATCAGTACAGCAAACTAAGGGGGCCTTGCTCATAAGCTGTATACCATACTTTATTTTAGCTTTCTAAACAAGAATTAAAAACCCAGTTTGAGACCAAATATTGGATTTAGTAATAATAATAATAATAATAATAATAACTTTATTTATATAGCACCTTTTAAAAACACAGGTTTACAAAGCGCTTTGACAAACAAGAACAAAGCAAACTAAACCAAACACAGAAGAACATTGACAACAGCAAGAACATAACAAATGCAAAATACTCAAAATAATTAAATACAATTCAACAGAAAAGAACCCAAAGTGCACGATACCCAACAGACATATATAACCCAACCATCACAAGAACCATCATAAGAACCCAGGCAACACGAGAACCCAACAACACGAGCTGAGACCAAGAGGAACCAAAGATTTAAAAAGATGTAAGAAACTAAAAGAGCTAAAAGCAAATAAAAAGGTAACAGCAATAAGAAGGTAAGAGCAGTAAAATAAATAGAAACAAGTGGTTAAAGGATAAAAAAAAAAACTATAATAATAATAAAAATAAAAAGTAAATAGTAGGTTGACATGTAGACCAATTCCTATAGAAAAACATAGGGTTACAATCATTTTACAAGAATATATTTAAAGTAGGCTATAAATAAATGCTCTATCAGTCTGAATACTCTGTTTGGCCATTGTAGCCCACGGTGAATTAAGGACTGAATAAAGAGAAAGGCATGTATGAGAGGTCTGACAACAATCATCAAACATGACTATATAAAGAAAACATTTTCCATTGTAGTCACTAGGTGTGAGTGAAACACAGCACCGCCACTGCAGCAGCGACCGCACTCGCGTGATTCAACAAACAGGCGTCATGCACATTATCCGGTTAATTTACATACATAACGCCGCCCAGGGGGACGAACATGTTAATCCACCGTCGATTGAAAACTAACCATAGGGAGGAGAGAGAAAGAACAGCTGAAGAAAGTTTCGACGAGAGAGGGCTGTTTTAAACCGGGAGAAGTGTTTACATAGAAACGCTGTCGGGCTCTTTGCCCCACTTTTGGATTACGACATGGACGCTTTGAAATCCGCTGGAAGGGCAATCATACGAAGCCCCAGCATCGCCAAACAATCGTGGGGCTCGGGACGACACAGAAGTGAGTATTCAGTTATTGGATGTAAAACCTGTGACAGCGTTAGCAGACGCCACTCTGGCTAAAAAAGCTAACTTTGCTAAACCAAGCTAGCATTGCCAAATGGCTAACATTACGACCGGTGTTTGTCACTTCGCGTTACTTTCCGAGTCCTCTGTGGACGTCAGGTACAGTTGTTGACAACATAGTAGCTGTCAGTGTTTGACTGACTGACTGAATGTTAGCAGGGCGTGTTTCAACACTAAAACGACTATTTCATGTCGGAAATGTTTTTTTGTTTGTTTTTTTTTGCTACGGAACTTGACACAGAATTTGTCCCCGCAGCTTGTAAAAGAAGTTGTAGAGACTCTGGGGTTAAGAGTATCAAATTCAGACCTTGAAGTGCTTCCCCGAGTATCAAACATCTCCAACGAGTTGCGCGTTCTCATGCATCCGGGCGACAAGCGACCGCATGTCACATTCACATGTCACGTTACAAGTTGTGAGAGAGTGATGTGAAATCCTCTGGTTGTCTGCCACGTCACTCCTCTGACTGACTGTCACGGTCTGAAAAACAACACACCAGCGGCTAAGCAGGGAGTTTAAAAAAAAAAAAAAAAAGAAGCTTGTGAAGTAGGCTGCCGTGCGCCGGAAGAGAGCAGGAAGGCAAGTCATCGGGAGTGAAAAAGACACGAAGAGCCGAGTGCTCGTCTCCCTTGTTCCCGTGGCGAGGCTGTACGATCATAGCAACGCACAGTTGCTAGGCGATACACCATGCGGAATGGAACAAAAAAAAAAAAGAACAGTCTGAAAAAAGGGATTTGGTTGCAGAGCAAAACATTAAATGGAAAGTCTTGTTTTAACCCGTGTGCCGGGCTCGAATAACTGGTTAAGCAAATCGTCGTGTAAGCCCCCTCAGATTTTACCTGGCACATCCATGAGATGCCGGGATTCAGCTGATGCTTTGCACCCTCATGACTACTACTCTCTGTGATAGCGAGGCTTTCATATGGAGGCTGCTCATGCCTTTTATAATATATTTTCATACACAAAGGAGGAATGTCATGTGCGCCTAGGCATCCACACACACACACACACACACACACACACAGACACACACTTCATAGACAATAGAGCAGTTGTGTCACACGTGCCAGACAGTGGGATCGATGCTTTGTTTTGGACCACCCCATAGACCAGCCCTTTCTCATCTGACCGGGCTATGGTAAACCCTAAAGCTGAAACCTCAGGCTTGTGGTGAGCTGTGCTATGACTCCACCTAGGCTACGTTCTGAAGGAAAAGTCACATCCATCCATCTTCCTGCTGCTGACAAAGTACAGTCATGGAAAGGCAGTCCTTTAGTGGCAGGAAAGCCTTGGTCCTGCCACAAAAGGTATAATTGACAGGTAGTGCTGTCAATCATTTTTTTTAAATCCATATTATTCTTTTTCTACCCCTTTTTAAGTAGTTTCAATGGATCCTCTGTTTGGTCTGTGATTAACTTTCTTCCCCCCCCTTGATTTTCTGGTCATTTTATCATAATTACTGTGTTTCAGTAGGCACCGGAGAACTGCAGGCCCAGAGTTATGAATAAGAAGGCAACTTGTACAATCTTGTTGACAGTGAGCTTTTACTCCAGGACTGACTCTGTTTTTTTTTTTTTTGCTTGAGAAGTGTCTGGATAGTGTTGCAATAATGTACATAGTTTGTGACACAAGTTTCAAGGTTTCAAGAAAGACTATCTCTCCTCCTTTTGTGTAGACTCAACCTTGAAAAGGTAACCTATTCACACGAACACAGCATTCCTTCTCTATCACTGTCACTATCAAGTCTTACATGTCAACATGTAAATTAGGGCTAGCATCAGTGTTTGCTTTACATTGTTTGCATATGCACTGATTTTTTTGTGTCAGCTGTCATTGAAGTTTAAAACAGTTCAGTTGCTTTTGGGCAGTTTGTTGAGCTGAATACATCTCTCTCTCTCAGCTGACTTTCCATTATATCCAATTAGTTCCTACTGTAAGGTCGGCAATGTGGTATGCATCGACGCTCGTTTAGAAGGCCCTTTTTTTTGTACCAGTCTGAAAGTGTGGGTGGTAGAGAAACCCTGTCTGCTTTGAAGAGAAACAGTTCCCTCCCACGTCGCTGGTCAAGGAGCTGTCTTCTGTAGGGTTGTATTGACGCAGCGACATATCATGATTTCAGTCGACCCATGAAGATGGAAATAAAGGAAGGGCTTGTGAACTAAAACCAATTGAACTACATTCTATTTATCAACTAGATGTGAAAGCTTACGTAGTTAAGACTTTTCACCAGAGATGGTACATACCTGTTGATAAAAAGCTATGAAAGATACAGTGGGTCTTAGTAGCCTTTACATACTATGTATTTTTGTCTACAACAGAAAGTGTGGGGTCCGCACTGCCCTGTACTGCTGGCCCTGCTCTGGCAGGTCAGCAGTGTGTCCCTTGCACAAAGTCAGCCAAAGGGGACTGAATGGCTGTAATGGAGATTGCTCACTGTAGGATTCCTTTATGGAGTTGTTAAGCCAGTGATTTATAGCACCGTTAGATCTTCTGTATCTATAACCTGCTCCTGTGTTTTTTAGTCACATGTGAATGTGTCCGTCCAACAGAACTGCACTGTCCTTCTGTTGGCCAAGTGGATATTTGACTTTTCAGTTTCAGCTGGTACCACAGTAAAAATAACATACTTTAAACATCAAGTGTTACCATGACCACCAGTAATTTGTGTTTGATTTCATTGTTATGATATATATCTAGAATAAGCTAACCTATTTGCATGTTCTTTTGCTATATTATATTTGCCTGTGATAATGTATGATGTATATCTTTCAACATCTCACAACTTTACTTTTCTGTCAAACCTCGTAAGACATCTTCTTGCAAAAATTCACTGAAAATGCAGAAACTACTTTTACAACTGAATGTACAATTTAACAAAGATGTCTTGCTTTGTCACTAAACTATCTACTTTAAAAAAGGAGTATGCCACATCTATGCTGTTTCCCCTTCCTGGTGAGAAATAATAAATGTAATCCCCTTAAGCCATATGTGTAGACATATGGTCAGTGTGGTAGTTCACAGTTCTTTAACTTCTTGTCAGTAGGACATCTTGGTAACTAAAAGAATGCCATCTGTGACTTTTAGAGTAAGAAAGCCTGCAAATCCCAATTAAATACACGTTGACAGCTAGCATTTAGGTTCCTTTACAATTACAACTCCTTCACTGTAATCTGTTCTAAGCAAAGGTGTTAGTTAAACCAGATACTATGGCACGCAGGGAGTCATTATGTGGCACTTTTAGTAGAAGCAGTCTAAATCTTCTCTGTCAGTCAGGCAGTGGATGTCTTCATGCTTGGTCAATAGAAAGGAATGAAACTCAAGTTGATGATGCAACCCGCCCTTCTTATCTGTGCACTGCATCAAAGTCTGTTAAGATTTGCTTTTTGTATGCACCAGTTGTCAAACTGATACTTGTTTCAAAACATAGTCCTTTTCCTTTTTTCAAGGTCCAGATATACACAATGATATGGCATCTTTTGATTTACAACAATGGTTGTAAAGTCCATGTAATCTCACTTTAGACCTCCTTCAATCCTTGTGTTTGAAGCCATAGGAATGCAGGGGTATTCTTTTACCTCTCATCCTTACCTGTATGTCTGCTACTGCTGCCAAAATTACATGTTGAAGCATTTCTCCATGAAGATGTTACTAAACATATGGAGTAAGAATGCAGAGAACAGATTTATTGAGTAGCTGAAACCAAGATCCCCAATATCTCAGCAACACAAGAAGAATATTAATCACTCTGCAAAAAGTGACACAACAAAGAATCAAATAGTGGAAACACAGACATGGTGTATTTCATTTTCAGGTTGTTTTTTTCCAAAAGACTTGTCTGTCTAAAAAACTAAATATTAGAGTTTACTTATGTTTATAACAAAGGTAAGCTGCAACTCACATTTTAGATGCATGGACAATGTTTTTGTTGTAAGTTCTTATAAGACAGGATTCATTTTCATCACATTGCTTTTTGTGTAAATCAACTAATACTTGATGCTCTACAGCTGCTTGTAAATTCAGCCAGCTTGAAGTTACTTCAAATCTGCTGTGTAAATGTTAGCTTAGTATGACTAGAAACTGTTACTTGGTGTGAATGACCTCTGACAAAACTTAGAATAACTCCATGAAAGAAAAACTTCAAACATTTTATTTTCAAGCAAAATAAAAATACACATGGACTGTTTTGACATTAAAACCTTTTATTTATTGTTAAACAGACTAAAAATGTTCTTTTTAAAGGGGCTATATGTAACTTTTTACATGTATAAATCGTTTTTTTGTCGCCTATAAATAAGTGAACGGATAACTGATGTGAAAAAGTGGATGTTCACTGTCTATCTGTGTATAACATTTTCCCCGGGTCGTATTTTCCACGAAAGTTCCAGGAAGTGACATTTTATGCATGTTCTCAACGTCCTCCTCACTCTGCTCTGCTTACAGAGATCAACAGTACAAACTCATCACACACTCCCACTCTCAGCCAGTGCCTGCCGAGACTGTTGTTTGTAGGATGGAGAATGAATACAGACACACAGACTCCTTCACAGACTTTCACATATGTATGAACACTTACCTCCTCTGTAAACATTATGTCAGTGTTTGGCGGCTGATGATGATGATGATGATGCTCGTTTGTGTACGTATGAGCACGTATGACCAGCACGCGAGGGAGAGAGAGCAACAGGATATGGTGCAGTTCACTTAACGGCCATGCGGTATTGCTACAAACGCAGTATTTTTACAAGTTACATATAGCCTGTTTAATGGCAGTTAAATCATAAATGAAAAAGCAATCAGATATGGTTTTAGCACTGTTGCAGATTATTGTGTTTGCAGAAAGGTAATACTCTCATAAGAGTTAATCAATTTCTAACCTCATTTGGTATCTACCAACTCCTAATGTAAAAGGAGGCTTGAGGACCTTTTTTAGGTTGTTG